AGATTGTCTGACGCCAGCCCACTTTTTAACAGGAAGTCAGGTTGACCGTCATTGAAACAAAGGAAGATGCTCGCACAAGATGGGAATTAACTAGAAAAATTTTCGCGGACATTTGGAAAAAAGGAAGAATATTTGAGTCAGCTGTTGGTCAGAACTAAGTGGCAGAGGCCTCAACGAAACATACAAATCGAGACGTAGTTGTCATTCATGACGATAACATGCCTACAGGGAAATGGTTAATGGGTAAAGTAACCAACATTTACCCGGAGAAGATGGATACGTTCGCGTGGTAGACCTCAAGACCAAAAATGGTTACATGAAGAGACCCATAACAAAAATATCTATCTTGCCATTAGAAAACAATGAACAACAAAAACAACAAATTACATCCAATCATTGTGAAAGGGCGACTCATCCATCAACAAACAGAGGCACAGAACGGTCACAACGCGTCAAAAATAAAACAACAAGCAACGTAACCTTATTTAGCCTAGTTATGACTTTGCTATATTTTCTAAATCCAGTCACAGCAAACAATAATTTCAACACGGCAGAGATCCAACAAGGCCTCTATTTCGACAAAGTGACAAATTTGAAAGTAATTCGCGACGAATGGAAAATAGTAGTATATTATGACCTTTCACCATATTGGACCAGCTTAACAGTAATAGAAAAATTCAACGAACATTTGGAAGATGTATGTGAAAGGATCAAGCCAAAAACACAATGTAAAATAATTTCACTACAAATGCGACACGCGCTCGCTGAACTTGAACACTACAACAACATGTTGCTGAGTCCGCAAGGCCGAGGAAACATAAGAAGCAAACGCGGGCTTATCAACGGTGTCGGTTCCATCGCACGTTCCTTGTTCGGTGTATTGGATGACCAATTTGCAGAACAATACACACGGGACATTAACCTTATCAGAGAAAAGAAACATCTGGCACTGTTAGCCAAAAATCAGACGTCTGTCATAGAAGCTGAATACAATGTACTAAGACGATCTGAAGAAAGAATAGAAATGCAACACAAGCTATTCAACCAACACTTACTTAATTTGGATAAAATAACCAATGAATTACAACAAGAAATAAGGTCCCAAGAATTATCCATTGAGTTTACTATGTCCGCCATCTCCGCAAACATCTTAATCGAACATCTCAAGGACGTCCAGGAGACACTGTTGGACACTGTGAAGAATATTTACAACGGCGACATCAACACGCATCTCATTTCACCAGACCAATTACGGTACGAATTGAACATTATTTCTGGTCAACTATCAAAGGATCTGGCCCTGCCTATCAACAATATGCAAACAGATTTCTTTCGCTTATATCACCTTCTTCAAATGAAAGCGAAAATAACAGCAAAATACCTGTTGGTTGAGATGAAGGTGCCCTTAACAACCAGAGATAACTACGAGGTCTATCGAGTTATACCTGTACCTAAAAGGAGTGGTGGAGATATGGTCACCCTACTGCCAATCGCTGACTTAATGGCGATAAACCTACAAAAGACTCCTATCTACCTATTACTGCTCCTGACCTATACGAGTGCATACATTATGATACTACCACTCGATTATGCCAACTACAAACACCCATTTATCGCATGAAATCAGATGAGAGGAGTCTATGCAAAAGGAACAACGAAACTGCTAATTGTCAAACAAAACAGGAACGCTGTCAAGACATATGGACGGAACTTAGAAATATGAATCATTATTTATATTTCTGTTGCGAACAATGCAAAATCCGGATCATATGTGGGCATCAAATATCAACACAAACATTGCAAAAGGCTGGAGTAATGACACTTGGCGACGATTGCGTCATCAACAGCGATACATTTACTGCCTACTCAAGAAAACTACAGATGAGTGAAATTCGATCTCGAGTAGACATAGTTCCGGTAGAAATTCCGCCGATAAACAATTTAATTAATCTGTCTGTTCCAATTATACAAGAGGTACACAATGGAAGTCTGACCAAGGAAGCGAATATGTTATTGCTGGATGATCTCGGTAAACAAATAAAACAGATAAAGGAGGCCGGATCCGAAGACATTATATCTGACCAAATAACATATCACGATATACATCAATATATCGTACTATACCTATTTATGGCGACTGTGGCAATAGCAGCTGCAATATATGGGTATTACAAGCTTAAGAAACAACCTATACCTCAAGCGATTCCTGGGCCGTTACGCGTTCCTGACCCTGCACCACGGAGGAGATCAACAGTCAGCATGGAAGATAATGCTATGCTCGAATCCAGGGAGCCACCAATATCATTGAGCACAAATAACTTGGACAAAGCAACGTCCCCTACTTCACGTGGTACATAGTGGTTCGACGACCGATCTTTCAATATTATGATTTAATTAATTTTGAGAATTAACTTCTTCAATTACTAAAATGATGTTTTTAAATATCAGTAATTGGTTCTACGTAGAAAAATAAACAAAAGGTATTATGAAGGATTTAAGGAAATGTCAACCAAAAATTTCAATTTCAGATCTTAGTCGTAAAAAATCACGAGTTCAACAAAAACAATGTAAGGACTTTTACTTTAGAAATTTGAATACTCACACCTCGAAATAAAATTTGGCTGTAAAATTACATTTAAATATAAAATGTTACAGACGCATTGGTTGAATACACAAACAGATACCTACTGGCATTAAGTTCGGTATCATACTATGCCTATAAAAGGTTTTCAAAAGAATTCTTCCGAAAAACACAATATCGTGAAATTCTTTGATAAAGATAAAATACTGTCATGGATGCTATTATTGCTCTAAGGAGTAGGCACCAGGCAGTATGATTAATATGCAAGGCCTACATTTTGTCAGGTCTGGAACCTATATCTTTTAATGGCGAGAATTTGACCATGATGGATCCTAGGAGATATTTATCCCCTATTTTCTTACTTATTATCTATAGATATGAATCCCATACTGCTCCTTCTACACTACCATAACACATTTACCATACCATACTATACTACCATAGTTTTTTCTTCTTCTCCTCTTATAATATCTTCTGATTCACTTCGTTGCGGGAACAAAGACAGTTACTCATGTCCCTGGGACGCGCCGGACTTCAGTGTTCCGGTGTTTTCATGGTTGTATCTGCTGTATATCCTGGATTACAGGAGTTGCAGCGGTTTTGGGAGGTTGTGGCGGCTTGTCCCATTATAAAATACCATACTATTCAAAAATGTTGTCACCAAGGCAAGGTTCGTCACCAAAGTTCGAAAATGAACTTTATACACGACAGTATGGCTACTAAAACATTCCAATTTATCAACAAAGTCACGAAGTATTTTAACACAGATACGTTTGTCACAAACCTTTTTCAATGCCACCATGTAAAACATAATAATTAAAAACCCTAGTAGGTATCATGTTCATAGCTTGTAAAGGCGGAACATCAAGCTAAACAAACCAGTATAAACTGACCGTCGCATGTACGGAAAGATCACATGAAGAGAGACCATGATAAATTGTTATGGCATAAAGGCACTTGACCTAAATCTCTTTTCTCAAACACGCTATCTTAGGAAGGTCAGATGAAAATATACGTTTATTGAAAAATGACATAGTGTCGGATCACGTAGTAGACACCATGTTATTCTATGCTAGTGACTTATCACCTTCAATTATGCCAATGTATGTCAATATCGAGATAAAGAATAAAGTTATAGAAAAAATGTTTCCAACAATAGTCTTGGAAATGGTAACGATAGTGAATGTAGCAAAAAATGATCTTGAGGCTCTAAGGTTTCCTATAGTTCTATTTGTGGATGACATTGTCAAGAGAGGTGACAACGTGATTCTGATTACGATTTCCAAGTCTGAACTGTGTTATTGAGATGCTGAAAGTATCTTGGCTAATTCTTTAGTGGAACGAACAATGTAAACCTAAATGAATCTTCTTAGCAAGATAGACGTGACGTTATGTCTACTTGAATACAATTTCACACGCTACCGAATGCAAGGAAACAAATTGCTTAACAAATGCCCAAGCATACTGTAACCATTTCTATAAACTTTATAATCATATAGCGTCCATCTTTCACTTTCCATGTCAAATAATGGAATATAAATTCGTGGTGCGAAACTGCCTAACACATTTTCTTCGCCGTCATTCAAACCACCATCAAAGCTAATCGTTTCACCCATTGAATAGAAATCAACATACACACATCACCCAAAGAATCAAATAGAAATTCCCGATCAGTAAACAAAAGCATGCATTGGTAACAATCTTGAATACCAATGTCAAGTCAATGTGTACATTCTCAGGACAATGCCAAGGAACGGTTTTGAGAAAACGATATTCCGATAGTACGTTCTCAAAATACAAATGAATTACAAATTCCTATGTCGTCATTATTCAATTCGACACATGAGAACCAAATGTCGGACTAGATTTTGTATAAGAAACGCATAAAGTTAATCGACTTACGGTTAAAATTTATTCGAAGCTGATAAACCTGGATATTTAAAGCCTAAAAATATCCAATAATTTTGCACGATTTGTAGAACACGTCTTAAGTTGTGCTAAAGATACAAAAGTAAATATCTTAGTACCTATATGCTTGTAAACAATGCATTTCACTGATAAAAATGCAATTCCAAGAAACCCACCCTCTGTAAAAACCAATATAATGAATGATTCTATAAAAAAAAACACATAAATTATGTTTGTGGTTACCAATGCCTATAAACAATGCAATTTTATTTATTAAAATAGCTTTTTTCATATTCAACATCATTCTAAATCGCTTGGCAAAGACCCAACTATGTAAAGACCATCGCTCGAAAAAATATAGACCATGTATGCTGCATACAAATCACATACTTGTACACTAGCGTCTTATGTTGCAACTTTTGAAAATATTTTGTATATTTAAGTTATTGTTTACACATTAGAATTAATTTCTTTATGTTTTTGACTAACATATTCTTCTTTTCTTTTTCAGAATCGGTCTTTGCGGATTTGATAACCCACACAGAGATCAGAAAACAGAAGAAGTTAGAAGACACATAGGACAGGTAAGATCTTTCCTTTTCAAACTACAAAAACATCTTACGACACACCCTAGACATTGAAGTCTTCTTCAAAATACACGCACGTACATGTATGGCAAATGGTTCATAATGCGTATATAAATTCAAGCGAGATAACTATCTTAGATCTTGGATAAGTCCACGTAGAACTAATACTAATGATGCAGCCACGCATGACACTGATATACCGTCAACTGATGAGCGTTGACACCTACACTAAAAACTTGATGAGCTCACGACCAAATAGGAAAATGCAGAACTTTACGACCTGAACGAATTCGATGTTTTAGCAAGCGTCCAAATTTATAATCACTACAATTAAAATATTATTAAAAACTTAGTAATACTAGGAACCGGTATTTTGAAAAAAGCAAGGAGCTCGATGATGTCAACCTGTCAACATAAATTAAAAACAGGTGAACTCAAATAATGCAATCACATTTCGAAACCACCTACCGCGTTGATGATTTTGATTATTAACCAGGATACAAATTAGAGGGAACAAAAAATAACATCTCCAAGCAATAATAATAGCAGGAACTATATTGTCAATCACAGTTCCCATCAAATTAACAGTGAAACAAAAAAATTGACAGGCGATCAACAAAATGGATGCAAACAGAAACAATACGTAGTCGTTCGCGAGGCAGATGTAGGAAGTGATGGAGAGGAACGGTTTAATATTCAAACGAACATGTTTATAACTATGGAAAATAAATATCATGAACCAAACAATAGAATCAAAATACCTGATACAAATGAGATGCGGCATCGAGCTGTCAAAGACAAGGTCACTGCAGATGTTGTACTGATGATTGTACTTGTATTTTACAAGCACCTGCTACTGACTCCTACATCTATCAATAGCCTAAAAGTCAAGCCAAAAGATTACTAAAAGACAAACGAAATGAGACATGTAACAGAGAATAAATTGTCCAACAAAATCAGTCTAGATCAAATCTAAATAATTCTTTGCTGAAATAAATCCAATTTCATAAATCACCTTGAAAGCCTAGAACATGAAGTAATTACTGTCATTACTATTAACTCGATTGATCATACAATACACACAATAAAGCATACAATTGTGATCACAAACATGAGTAAGGCCGGGAGCTTAATGAGAAAAATCACAATGATCATGACCAACCATCTCTTATTACCCGTGTCTAACTATGTACTTGAAACAAATGAAATAAAGATACAAATAGACCATGAGGTCAGACGTAAAACTGATCTGCATATATCCGGCCTAATTTGAAATGAAGGAGATTGATTCGATACAGAGTTACTTGATTACAAAACAGACAAATTATAGTGAGACGAATCATTATGTGTTGTCGGTGGATAAACCTGTCACTACTTAAGCAAAAATTTGATCTTTAACCTTAGCTATTGTTGTTACATCGTGTGTTCAAACCGCATATGAGTCGTATAGAAGAGTTTTTACCAGCGATTTTATTTTGAGTTGTGTTTTAACAATTAATTTTGGGGAAATTTAACTTATGAGATAATATCTTGAATTTGATTTCGCGAAAAGATGATGAAGCATAACCTGTAGAAAACCCTTTATTTCCTGACTGTAGGAAGGGTATTGTTTTTTAATATAATCTGTCGTCATACACCAGACTTCATTTTTCGATTTCAAACTATTTCTTAACCAACGAACTACTCTCAGTGACTAATTCTACTCAAAATCGGTATTCAGTCAATTCCTACCAAAATAAACCTAACTCTTGGTAGCGTCTCCACTAAAAACGGTAACGATATACATAAAACCACTGACTCGCATGAATTATCAACGGCTGGCTGGTCAAAAGGAATTTGGTTGTACCGCGCGACAATTATATGCGTTTCGTCAAACCACATGCAACTTCCCACTACCGGCTGGATAAGTAATGTTAATTTATTCCTTCATTGAATATATGGAGGAAATGGATCAGACTATAAGGAAATGTGAACAATTCTGTATTACCTACATAATACTAAGGATGAGACAACAGATTTGTTTGAAACTTGTGATTGGAACAAGATACTGGATAGTTAAATTGGAAATGTCAAATGATGGTACAGCTTTTTCTGTATTAATTGTTTAGAAATTATACAGATGTGTGCAATGGTCAACATTGCGTATTTAGACTACATTTTTGGCATCATAAAACGCGAAACTTTTGATTACTTTTTTGACCATCTGAATCATATAATAATGTTTTTTTTTTAATTTTCACTTACAGTTTCAAAAACTAATATTCAGCATTTATAATTAATCAGAAGTTGCTCTAAAGTTTGATGACGCATTCGTTGTATCTTTTAGTATTTTCCTATTAAATGTTACATTCAAATATTCGATTACACATGCTAAAATTAATTGAAACCTTACTTGATACCTAGGTACACAAGCATTATAATGACGTAAGTATTTTTTGTTACAATCGTGACGCTACATAAAATAAAAAGATCCCTTCTATCATAAAAATAAATAAGGAAGAAGCATTTAACAAAACATATGCAGAAAATCCTAAATGAAATAACAAAAAGAATTAAAACACTAATGATATTAAACAAAACGTAGTAGACGAGGAAGCGTCAGACTCATTGCATATTCCAAGATTTCTATCAGCGCAAACGTAACGTAGTTCGTGTATTAAGGCATTCGCTTTCAGTATCTTTCCAAATGACAAGGTCGACTAAAGGTTACCTGTCATGGATCTAATTTTTTACGAAGACACTATAAAACTTATTTGAGTTTGTGTTTCAAAATGTGTCAATTAAATTCAAATTCTTATTTGTTGGTCATGTAATACCTAATAATGTTAATGTGTTTATGAGGTAAGAGATTTTGATATGCGAACAATTTGTTAGAATTTTCATATTTCATGTGTAGGTACTTCTTTAAATTCAAAGCCTTCATTCAAATTTCTCATCAATTTTCATCACACCATGGATCACAAAACCTTTTTCAAAACTAATTTTAAGGACGTTAATAAAGATATAATAAACAGTAGTCGTAAAGATAAACATTCAAATTAATAGCACGAAAAAATCAATAATTGCAACATTAATAAAGATCATTATGCAAACCATATATGCAAACTACTTTATTAATCATCTACTAATCATGCAGAAACAAAAAACCTCTATTGTAGTACTGTACATAGTACAAAAAACTATTCTCACACATTTAACACTAATTGATTTTGATTTTACGCCATTTTTTACTTTAAAATATCCTTATGACCCTATCTTCCGTGTACTTCGACTAATGCTTTAACATGCACCTATAGTTTACTAAGGTCATGATGTCATAGGTCAGAATGGTCCCAATCCTATTGTTGAGAATCTTTGTCATGTCATAAATCATCAGGTGATGAATGGTGGAAGTAAAAACTGTGGCAAAGGCAATGACCTTGCTGATGATAGATAAGGGATTGATTTTGTATTATGATGTCATAATTTTGTTGGTGAAGACAGTATTGTTATAAAGGTGATTGCCCTATTTGATGTATTAAAAAAACTACGTAAGGTCAGAAAGTCCAAAAAGCATTTCATACTTTTGTTCTTAAGCATATTTTCATTAATGCATCGTTTCACAGTGATTTGCAACCACGACAGTCCCGTCACTAGCATCGAAATTTCATAAAAATTGCTTGCTTAAGACTAATTAATTAATTAACTTTATATTACGAACGTTAATTCACTTGGTAAGTGGAACGATCACGACGATATCATATAAATAGCTTAAGTATCGGTTTATGAAACATTCCTTGAAGCTGACACGAAAGAAGCGTTTGATTCAGCCTTTGATGGAGGATGTTTACAACCAGTAACTGTATTAGTAAAATTAAAAACACATTCACTTTTCATTCAAGCTCTGAATTTGAGTGTTCAATTTCGTGGTATCCGGTTGATATAATCTTTATACGCCAGACACAGAGACATCCTTGTACTAAGGTTACTATAGAAGAGATCTGGCATTATGCCATTCTATCAATTGCATAAGTTACGCGTGTATGATCAAAGTTCATTAATTTTAGTTAAGATGAATTGAAGAGTAAATTAATCAGATGTAGCTGATAATCTTGAATAGATTAATAATGTTAAAAAATTAAGAATAATGAACATAAGCTTGACAATATTACAAACGAAACTAATCTTGCAATTAATACAAATATAGATTCTAGTTTAAAATTATCTTTGCTTCAAATAATGCGTAACAATACACCGACCTGTACACAAACCGCAAATGTAAACGAAGCTATTACAAATTTCAAACAAATAAAACCTTGGTATCGTTATATTAAAAGCACATAAAATTGCACACTGTTCCATGTAAATTGCTATTATTATTTAAGTACGTTTGGTTTCACAATTCCACACAAAATATAAGTAAATTGGTAAGGTGAAACCATTTGTGTAACTAATGATATTGGTAAATAAAGACATTATAGACCATTTGCCATTTTAAATAAAAATCTGGAAGAATTAAGCTTTGCAAGTGAAATTAAAAGATGTAAACTAAATATTGTTTTGCTTTGTCAACAGGGTGTCAAAATAAAAATGGACGACGCCGGTAACATACTCATCAGACGCTATTCCAAGAGTAGTGTGTTTGTGAAGAGTACGGCAGCCAACAGCAACGAAGAGACGGCTATTGGACAAGATATAGTCAAGCTACCTGGATATGCATTGGAACAAGAGAAAATATTTAAGGTAAAGATAAGACTTATACTAATTAAAGTTCACCGATTGCTAACAGGATTGTGCCTACTTATTTCATGAACACATACACCACCAAACACGTTGGTACTTGGATGATAAAGATAATACTTAATAAGCAGACGAAAAAATTAAAGATAGTCTTTTTGGTTTCATTATTATTCAAACGGATAATAAACAAATATTTGAAGCTATCAAAATCTGCAAACATGCCATTAACATTTTAAAAACAAACAAAAACCAACTAATAAACGCTTATAACAGTAAAACAAAGCCATTTATCAAAGTAAGTGAAAAAACCTTTATGGACATAATTATCTTAAGTGTTACAAATATCGCGGCTTAACAATTTATAACAAAAACGTTAAACTCAATGCCGGAATAAAAAACTAAAGCGAAGTTGTTAAAATGTTGAACGATAAAGATGTAACGCTTCCTTTAACACGAACTAAGTAAATCAATGAACTTAAGTGAACAAATCATTATTTAATTGTATGCAAAGTAAACGACTTTGAAAATGACGTTAATGACAACAAAATTAAAAATAATGGACATTTCTAGACCAGTAAGAAAAACTAAAAAAACACTGCAAACAAAATAGATCATCTTTATATTAATAAAAACCTAGCAAAACAAAAACACACTTTTGTAAAGCAAAAGAAATAAGTTTGGGTAGCCTGCTACGATAGACTCTGAACCATAATTAATTCAAAACCCAATAGGTGCATCTAATTACACGTTACTTATCCTTCCTCTTGCACCAGCCATGTTATTTACGAAATTATCGTCCAACGAAATTAAATCACAATTCTAGTCTTTATTACTATTGAAATATGAATTTTAAAAATCTAATTTATGGGTAGGCAAGGTAAACTGGTTCGCTACGAACATACCAAACAAGCGTCAGTAGAAGTTATTTCCGTCAAGATGGATGCGTTTATGAAATAAGATGTCGTAACATATGCCTATTAATTTCATGGTTGCCCACGTAATGATCTAAATTGCTTAGAAGATAATCGACCTGATGTTCCCTAGAAATTACCTGTTTGGTTACTCAAATATTGATTATTTCTTTCTTTGTGCTAGCCTGTCCACCGATTAAAAATATTCACTCATCTTTTGATGCATGGTCACACACAATAGGCAGCTATTGTTCGTCTATTACTTCATCTTTCGCTGCTTCTGCCTCCATAATTTCCTTATGTTCGTCGTTATTAAAGACAATAATCATCATAGAAAAAAAATTAAGAGGCCGAAGCATTACTCTAATGCGCGTTGCGTTAGTGCATCAGTCATTTGTGGTGCATCACGACTGCACAGATTGTGTCCGAGCACGATTCTCTCGGACCATGACATTGCCACGTAATTTCATTTTACCAACATTTTAATGTTATGAAATAATTTCTCAACTATGCTCTTTGTAAACGCGTTTTTTGTTAAAATACATAAAAGACAAACTGTGTGAATTGAATTCCAAGTTCATAAAAATAGACTTATATTTATGAAGTGCACGTTTCCGATTATCTGTAAGACGATAGGCTTGTAGAATTGTAGATTAGTAACAAGAATACCATTCAAGTACAGGCCATGACATTTGTAAATACGGTTAATGACAAAGCGAACGCAAATGTGAATATAATAACTGGCTCCGACCACAAATTAGTTAGTGAAGCTATTAGAGGTACTAATACAAATACTTTCCTTACAACTAACACGATGTAAGGAGAAGACAATGGAAAATTCACTTCCTAGCATCCGAAAGATTCATTACTAATTCATACTCCATTACCTACAAGATTTTACGTAAGTCTGTAGCGAACAATGAGAGAAGATAGCACTATTAAGCAAGGGAAGGAATGGTCATTGCCTCACTTATTTGTTTGAATGTTATTCTATTTCCTTGGGAGTAACGAAAGCGAATTTGCAGAAAGTAAACCATTGTCCGTGCGCAACGCACCGCCGAAACAATGCGATGCTTCAATTAATGGCTATTGTGAGAAATATTACATCTTCAAATTATATTATTTGGCACATTTGATTGCTTGTAATATAAGTGTTACGTTGAATATAAAATAAAATCTAAAGATTAATAGGTGGAAAATTTTCTTTATTGGCTAAACTACTCTATCTGAAACATAATCTTAAAAAAAAATATTTCATGGTAAAATTGTAGCAATTCCCAGGCCACAAAGTGCCTCATAGAATAAAATATAATTATGACGTCCAGAGGTCTTGATAGGTCACCCTCTTGCTCACTGCACTATTGCACCGCAATGTACGTCTTCATTAAAAGACTCTAATTTCCTCGAAACAATACCGTAAAATGTCGAAACCGGTTGATCTCTGGGATTTTTTCCGAGCTCAACTCGTTTCCCACACCGAATTCCCTTGTGACTAAATTAATATAAAACAATACTATCAGTAGTGTCAACCACAGTTTTTTAACTGGAACTAGACTACTTCCAATGTATAATAAACTTGGAATGTTCTCAACCATTTTGCATTCGACACCGCTATTGCATTTATATCGGCGAAGTCAAGTCAAAGTCAAAGCATTTATTTCAATTAAACCATAGTTTGGTACTTTTGAAACGTCAACAAATACAAAATAAATAATAGTCTGTCAGTCAGTCCGTCAGTGAAACTAGGTGAAGCTAGGTGCTCATTCCAAAAAGTAGATTCGAATGGAGAAGAACGATCAAGAAACTCCATTCGTTACTCTTTTTAAAAAAAGTATGTTCTACAATGTCTCTGATACATATTTCAATACTGTACGCATATGTAAGAACAATGCAAAGACATGCTTGACGAATTATACTAATAACTTACTAAAATTAAAAAAATATATAAATCTTGAAGTCCAACATGGTGCCATGAACCCTGGTCTATCGAGATAATATTATAACTAACTATACAGGCTACCCATAACACTGCAATATGATGTAACCGTTATAGTACTCGTATGTTCATCATTCCCATTTAACCTCTGTGAGAACGGAAGATCCAAACCATTTGTCTTTACAAAACATTTACGTCAAAACTTCCATTTCAATTTGATACTTGCGTAAAACAATTCATCACTTCCCAGAATGTAGTCAATTAACTAGACGAGTTTGTGTTGTAACAATGGCATGTTTTAGTTTATAATTAGATTTTTTGAAATGCATCAATATAACGGCTACGACGCTTGAGTTGTTGTCTGATGATTTACGAATTACGTCGGCAAAGTTTTTAGAGATACTATCTCCGATCTACTGGACCGAACTGTCGGTCAACTCGACAACTGCTTGCACTGGTTATGTAACAACTTTATAAGCCTCATTCAATTTCGTCGATGCATCTGACTCGGCATTTTCATTTGTCTCTCGAACTTCCTCAATAGAATCGGGAGCCTTTGGGAACATGTTTTATCTTGATGTTGATAGAATTAGATCACGTCGTGTCGGAATTTTAAGTTTCGTGACTTTGATGTTTAGAAGTAAATTATGAAATTGACGAAAAAAGTTATTAAATTATGGTCGATTGATTTGTCTGGTAAAATTGACATTCCTTGAGATGGAAAGATTCTAACTAAATTGCTTTATACTACTTGAGAGTACGCAAGTAGATCTACTACAAAAAATGCTTTTTCATTTTAATTACCAGCGCTCATGCTTGACATCTTCTTTGTCGAAGGGCACCCTACATGACGTCGGCTGTATTTTGTTTGATCGAGCGATTGTCTTTTCATTATCGACCGATGCCTTGTTATGTAATATTAATTCGATAAGATCTTCTAATTTAAACGCATTCAATCGATCGTCCGACAATTTGTTTTAGATCATCGTTCGTGTTGATTAAGATAAAAAATGTACTCACGCGTTATTTGTTACTGCCTGATACTTTAAGTTTGTTTGTTATAACTCGTTTAGGTATTATCTCATCTTTAAAATTATCTTTATTATGAATGATACCAGCTTTTAGTGCACTGTTTTTATTTCTTTTATTCGGTGTAGTATAGTCCTAAGACAAGCCACTAATTATCGAAAACGTGTCTTAATTATCTCTAAACTTATTTGTACTACTATCTAATACACTCAAACGGTGGCGCCTTGTATCTATCGTTAAGAAGCATACTTAAGATTATCAGGAAATACAGGCAGCCTTTTAACCGCTCTACTTTTATACAAGATTACATCGACGTCCTTACTTATAGCGTGGGTAAATAGTTTAATATAAAATTTTCTTTTCCAGTTATTTGATATGAAGAAGTTTCAATCAAACGTGAACCGTGAGCTGCGCCGTTCGTATCCTGATCGCAGACGACTGGAGACACAGTGCCTCAGTGCTATCGCCTTCGTCAAGTCGGATTCAGATCTTCTCGACTGCCCCATTTGGGTGCTCATCATCAACGTCGTTGCTATGGATATGCTCAAGTCTAAGCTGCCACCGGGTAAGTTTCTTATATAGATCACAATATTAAAGTTCCAAATCCCTATTATCTAAACGATTCAACTGAAGTTATGTAGACCATTTTGAAAATTGGATACTAATGTTATGCCGTATTATAAAAATATTAGGTAATATTAATCTCCAGATGGCAACGATGATGTCAAGATCTTCAAGACAGTTTCACAAATTGATTTGTTAATCAGCCAAAGTCCATAACTGGAACCTACAAAACTTTAATTCTCTGAAATACTATAAATAGATGTAAACAAAAACAGATTAAAATACATGTACAGTTAGCTAAACACAAATTGACTTGTCCTTGAATAATGACGTTAACAATAATTAGCGTTTTTGACTTATAATGCACTAGGATAATTAGTATTTCTTATTAGTTTTTATAGAAGTCACAGCACAAAGAATGATGATTCAAAGAGACAGTTATTTTAAAACGGTGTTAGAATAATAACTGAAAATACACACGATGTCAATAGCATTGAACTCAAAAACCTAAGTAATAATTTTGGTATGCATGTATATCTGGCTAAACCTTTAGCATGAATATAAAATGTAAATGCATCGGGACGGTTTTTTACACCTCTCAAAAGATTTTATATCGAAGGCAGAAAAAGAAGCAAAAAACAATGCAGGTTTTAGGATTAGCGATATTATGCACTTTGGTGAATCACGTGAGGGCAAAAAGTAAATTATCGTGATGGTCAGAAAAAGTCTTAATATAAATTTTATTACTGCAAGACAAACACACGTAGTGATGTTTTTACTGTAGAATTAATTAATGTCTTTATCGCTAGATTTTCCTACAACTGGCTATTTTTATTAGGTCAACATTTTTTAAATTAACTTGAACTACAATATTACCTACTGTTGATTATGTTATTTGTAATACGAGTCACTCTCTATTTCTCTAAACAAATATTCAAATACTCTTCTAATTCATATATATTTTCAACTATTCTGATAAAGTTCTCTTTAACATCATTGTACATGTCTTCGACTATTTTAATAACAGCTTCATTACCAACTTGTTCACTATGTACATACATTGACAAGGGCTTGGATCCGGTTGTCACGTCAGCTGACGACCTTGGTTGAACAATGTTCACTGTCACTTTCTAAGCCTGCACTTTGCAGATCATGTCTTATACAATCTTTGTACTAAATGTTAAAGTGTTAAAAATTGATGGCCCGTTTTGTTAAAACAAATTCATAATTTTGTTAGAAATGGAAATTTTTAAACGTGTGATGTAACACTTAAAAGAGCTGTCAGTCAATTCGATTACATTTTTGATTGGTTACTTTGTGGTGGGGATTAAACAAGAGAACGCTGTTTAGAAAAGTAGTGAACCACGTACGATAGTGCGTTTAGATAGTGCTATCTCACGTGTAATTTAACTGCAGTTTGATAAAAGTAAAGTCAAGGATGCGTCCCTTTTAAAAATAGCAAATGAATTTAACAAAGCTTGCAACAAAGAAGAAAAGTTTAAAATCTACATAATGAGAGCTCACAATGTCAAAAATCTTATTAATTTCTGTCCCAAAAATCCAATTTAATGTAAAAATGTACAAGTAAGTGGTAGGTTGGATAACTAATTGCCTACAAAAGATGATGTTTGATAAAAATGATGGATACGTTTCCCACGAACCATTACGGTTCGTAAATAGGAGGGCAATTACTTTTTATGTAATTATGCACTCATGTGATGTGGTATCTAAGCTTAATTTGGAGAGATTTGAAACAGAATGTGCGCATGATCACACTACTCCTACGGTTGAGGTTGGGTCAGGAAAGTACTATTTTAAAATCTCGTAGTATATTTTACAAACATACAAGAAACGCTAAAGAAGAAAAGATTTAGAACTGTTATGTTGTTGTAGTGGCATTCACATTAGAAAAAAGAACATTAGCTCATCTTACTGAACAAAATTCCTAAAATCTAGGACATCACTAACATTAATGTGATCTTCAGAAACAATGCGCTCGAAATTTTTGTATAAACCACAATGTTTTGTAGCAACATCATATTAAAAACACTTCCGCACTAAAAACATTGCGATATCATCACTCGAGTTATTTAGTGTGTCTTTAAAAAAACTAACGTGTGAGCAACGCATCGTTTTTACCTCCATTTTTTTAATACAAGCTTCATTAAGTAAAGCATGGTCAAGGTGGGCTGGTTGTGGATTTGGGAAAATATTTGCGGTCAGGTCACTAGTGTTCAAGGAAAATTATATAACTTTATGTTTTGACATCGAACCTCTTGACTTTAGAGACATTTTTAGTACGACTAACAGGACGGGCGTAACTGCTTGAAATTGTGTTTTTAGCTTTTTATCCCTTCAAATGGCATCATCGTTAACGCTCGTACTGTCATAATTATACATATATACAGGATCTATTATTAGCTTTGTAATAGCTTCAAACGTAATTCATATTAATTTTTTTATTTTTTTTATACTAATTAAAATGACACCGCACTTGTAACCGCCTTTAATTAAATCAACTAAGCACGACTCATTCAAACGTCAATAAAATCAAACCAGCACCAGTTCTTCATTTAATCTAGCAAAAACTAAACAGGAAATGATTTCGTCTACATATTGCTTCAGATCACTTCAATAAAACTCATAAATTGGTCACAAAACCAATTAAATGTCTAACAAACATACGTGTCCAATGTTCCGCATATTCAGATAATTACATGCTCCGAACAACAGGTCGTATGGGTTAAAAAAATCAATTTGAATTTAACCTTAGAAAGAAATGTACGCCTACTACCAAATTACAAATTAAAACAAACAATTTTAACAAACACGACCTTAAATTGAAAGCTAATAAAATGAACATGATCATTTATATTAACCTTCTTTTATAAAACGATATAAAGGAGCCTACAAACAACGTTGCTAAATAATCTAAATCTGTTGCCGGCCACGTTGCATCGTTAAGGATGACAGAAGCAGTAAACGATTTCACGCTGTTCCCAACAATAGCAGAGAAAACAAGCAAAATTGCAATAGCAACATTAAGGGACATAAACGCACAATACGTGTCATAGCGAATAAATTGCCTAACACCGATATCACGGACAGAGACACATAGGCCCTGTGAAGGGTCCCCAGAACGGAGAACTTCGCCTGTTTATCTTAAAACATAAAAATATTCCATTAAAGTATCACATTGTGAACCGCATTTATCAAAACAGCCCGCGTGGGAGTTACCACAGCTGTAACACCTCTTTTGACTTTTTAAACATCCTTAATATTGTCTTTTTCAAGTTCAACCATATTATCATCATTAACTTTGAAAAGATTTATACTATTTGTTATAATGTTCATTTTAAGTCTTTCCATATCATCAGTTACAAGGCCTCTGTCGAACATCAGTTACGCGTCATCAACGTTGACAGTAATTACCATTGAATGGGCGTATGTTTGCATACGTAGACGATGACTTGAGGCACCCAAAGATCTGACAATGTTACAGTTACCTTGTCTTAGACCTCCGGGGACCGGGGCTCAGGTATTATGGAACAATGGGACGACCTCTACACTTATCATTAACTGATGAATATACAAAATTAAATTCTTATAATGCACAGTAATATTCTCACGCGCAACCGCGACCGTTTAAGTAAGTTGTATTAACCTTGGGCTTATTGAAGTTTTAAGCAGAAGAGAAAAAATGATACAGTGCGGAAAGTCCAGACCAAAAATAAATTGATTATATACTTCAGTATTTTGATGTTGGAGATGGCCTTAAAACCAGCATCATCGGCAGTTGTTGTCTTGTTGTAATTATTGAAGACTCGTTCAAAAGTGATCCGGTTTACTGAGACAAGGTGATCGGCCAGTAATAATGTACAATTGGCAGTCCAAAGAGACTTCCGGAAGACGAGATGGACACAAATATCAAGCGTGCGTCATCAGGTCTGCAACTACCGACGCTCCTGTTTTATTCATATCTAAAGAAAATTTGAATTACCCTTAGTAATTTGCACGTCGTTTGAAATAAGCAGCAAGTGTGAATCAGTATTATTATTATATAGATAATTTTCAAATCTGATTCAGTTCCCATAGCACGTAACCGCATCAACTATGCAGAGCCTCACTTCTCAGTAGTCTGCTTATTGTTGTGCAACAATGCAATCTTCCATCGATCTCAAAATGTATTGCACCTCATTTCACTCAAACCATTCTGGAAATTTCTAACTAACCCCATCTAGGCATGTTAACAGCAATTCAACATCTAATATTGGTTTTGCACAAATCATAGTGAGGCTATGGGAAAGAAACCGCACTGAGAGATTCCCTTGATTTTCCACCACGGATAAGATGCGTTCATAGATTTTCTGCAGTGGTTTCGCGGTCTTGCCACTGTTTATCTGTTAAGGAACTCAAATAAATCTATTGGGTAAAGTAGCTAATGTTTTCTGTATGGGAGTCGTGACACTTAAACGTGGCCACTGGTCGCTTTTACTGATATAGCAGCAAAAGCTTAACCTCCGTGTCATGGAAGCAATTGTACCTTATTATTATAGTCGTGTCTTTCGTTATTTCCATAATTAATCTATTTATATGTATTTGATCAGTTTATCTGTATAAAGTTGGTCAGATGGTATTTGTGTTAGCATTCATAAGATCTGCATTGCTGACATACTCTTTGTCTAATCAATTCGAACAGTAATGTTCACGTCACCCACTTAAAATTTCGATTTCATAACGAAGGTCATACTTCGTAACTAGATCATACGAATGCAATCGTTGCCCATAAACCCATTAAATTCACTTTGAATCTGTAACGAGCACCAATTGAATCATTAAAGGCTTGAACAGACGTGAATCGTGACCGATGTTATGCAAAACTCGAATCGATTGACAATAGGAAGCATTCTGATCGAGAGTGGTCTGTATACTTGGATTTTAGAAGCCCTAATTTGGAGCTCAAATTTGGCTGCAATAGCTATTACCTTGCAAAATTTTACAGCTACAGTTATACGACTGCTTCAATAGAAAAAGGAAGATGTTATCAAAAAAGACAAAATTTTTGTATTCTCCTTTCGTTTTGCAAAGTAAAATGTCTTATCAAACCAATCTTGGAACAATTAGAGCTGTGGTCTGCTCTTGACACATCGCGTTTTATAAATAAATAGCAACAGTGAATTTAAAACCATTTTTTGTGAATAGACGCACGTAATTTTCTCAGCATTTAAAAACAGTCGGTGTATGAAACTCGGCTATTAGCATTCAGCTCATTGGCTGAACTAATCGGGATTCTAATCCCGTTGCGACATGGCGTCTACGGTATTTCCAGACACAGGTATATCTTTTAAACTTAGATTATGTGCGAAACAAAGCTTTATCGTTTCCACAACATCTGTATAATGTCGACACTGCATCTGCGAAATGCTACAAACAAAAGAACTTCGACTTCCTTATCAAAATTGCTGTAATTGCTATCTCAACTAAAAGCCTTTAAACAATTGGACGAATAATGTTTAATACTTAGTTACATTACCGTAATAGCATGGTTTATAAGTGGTCTAAAAGTGTGTAATCATCGTAATGAGAGGGCTCAATTAGAAACAACAATTTAGTAATAGATAATTGTCTAATATGGTGCACACAAGGTACTACAATTTAAATCATTTCCGCATGATCATTCGTCATGATTGAACATGTAGTTCAAACAAACATTTAGGACTCAGACAATCCGACACCACAAGATAGATGCAGACCTATTCCCTCTTTTGTGCCGCACCGTCGCTCAAGCAATAAATTTTATAGGCACTTTGATATTTCGCAACTAAAAGAGCCAATATTCGCGTGAATTTACATTTATTGTTCGAAGATTATGTATTCAACCTTGCGGTGTAATAGTAAAGTTGGTTAATCGTGGACGATTCGTTTATTTTTATGATTAGAGACAAAGGTACGTGTAGTAAAGTGGAATGAAGACACCAGACCTTTACCGTCGCATTAATAACCGTAGGTTGTTCAAAGTCGTGAAGAGGAGTGATTGCCATCCGATCTGAACATCACGAAGCAACATTTGTGTTGTGCAAGCGTCGCTAAATGTTTCCAATTGTTGTGTGTTCAAGTTAGATAATCGTAAACCATGTTATTATATAATATATCAAATATTTTAATAGAATTTAAATTACTTTATTAACTAAAGATGAGAACCCAGCAGATGTTAACCAAAATACGAGTTGTCAGTTTTACGATGTCTATAAAATACCTAACTTGTTAACAAAGACTATCATTTGAGACGAATAATTCAATATCCAATAAAATTTTCCGAGGCAAATGAATAATTGAATAACATTATTTATTAAAACGAACTCTGACATTAGTGTCGAAGAATCATTAATGTCCTTTTTTGTTGGGTCATTTTAAATGTTTCCAGTATTATTTATAATTTATCTTCAGACTCACACAAAATTACATAAATAACTGTGATTTGTCCCATATAATCAGGGGCTAGTTTACTGACTTTCATGTTAGAATTATTATTATGTATCTGTTTAATTCTTGAATTTCCTCTTACTGAAATGAATTTACTATCAAAACTTAGTCTTTTGCTACCCAAACCACACTTTCCTATACATATTCTAATAACATGTTTTGTCAACAGTTCAAAGACTGATGGACATCAAGAACCGACCTCGCATCCCAATCCCAGATGAAGACCCATACAGCATCGCCAGCTCCAACGCCAATGGATCAGGATCCAGTGGTAGTTCCGGAGGTTATGGACACAATGGACATAATGGACACAATAACAATGGACACGGAGTCGTCGCTGCCACAAGAGAACAGCTCATGATGCAAATGGGACAGAGGAGAGGTGAAAAGCCTCCGAAACTACCGCCCAGGGAGAATGGGTACGGTCCAGCTGACATTCCCAAGGTACGTGGATACAAAGTGAGTTATCGATTTTGGTGACCCTTTGCATGCTACTGCACCTGCATGCTTAAATTGTCACACTTTGTATGTAAGGATATGTATTTGTAAATTGTGTTTTTTATTTATTAAAGATTGATGTTGATGATGACGCAACTAATGTTGAAGAGTTTGTTAGTTTGCGTAGAGTATTCAAATATTGTTCTTATGGTCAAAATTGCAACTGCTGTAGATTTAATTAGAAATATAGAACTTTCTAACTACATGTCAATTTCAAATATTACATAACATAACGTCACGCCTTTTATCCCCGAAGGGGTAGGCAGAGGTACACATTATACCACTGTACAATGTAACACCCACTTTTCACTATTTATGTTATGAGTCCCATGTAATAGGGGGTGAACCTATAGCCATATACCGGGAACAATTTCAGACTCCGTGCTACTACTAAAAATTTAAAAAAACCCATTATACTTTGCTCTACCTGGAAATCATACCTCTGTCCGGCAGTCGCACTTGCGACCACTCGGCCAACGAGGCAGTCTCAAATATTATAAAACATTTAATGCTAAGTCTAGTAGTAGAAAATTGTATGTGATCAATTTAATCAGCCTCAACGAGTACTCGCAAACACGCATGACAATCAAATAAAAAAGTATGCAAAGCGCTTGTTTGAAAGGGCAATAAAATTGGTCGTTAAAGTCACTTCACTAGTCGGTAGCAAGTACGCATAAAATCGATTATCAATGTCTCATTTAAAAAGTTCGCTCATCGTAAATTAATTTAATAGGATATGATTTACGAGCCCTGCAGTTTCATGATTGAATAATAATAAACTTGAATCCTCTACCACTGATATAAAAGTAAGATGCGGTTGCGAATCGACAAAGTAATTTTCGAAGTGAAAATTGCATTACGAATTATTTTTTCATTGTAAAGTTTGTGCATGGAGGTACTTTTTGTGATGCCATGGCTATTTTTATTACGATAATTTACATGTAATTTTTATTTCTGGTCTTATAATAAACATACCGCCTGCGCTCGGTGATCTTTGTATATTTTATGTCGCTGATTATTCTCTTTCTTCAAGATGTTATTATATGAGCTTTGTTCCTTTTTTAGAGCAATTTGTACATTTCCGTTGTCTCCAAGTGTTGGCCGTGACAGAGTATTTTTAGTAGTCTCCTTTTTTTCGGTCATTATTTTGTTCATCAACAATCTCATATCTAAATTACCACTGGGCATAAGGTAATAAAAATAATAAAGTAACCCAAATTGCAAATCGTTAATCTTTGTTAGCCCTTAATGCACATTTGACAAACATAAAGAATAAAAACGTCATTCCGAATCTACTTAGTGATAAAGTTACGATTTATGCAGATTGAAATACAAAAATGTCTCCGTATGAATAATGGATGGCGACCGTAATCAACAAATAAGTCACACAAGAAATGTACACCGCACCGAATCAGGATCTTATGTCAGCTTAAGATCTTTAGTCACAAAAATATTCCAAAATAATTACAAGTAATCAAAGACAAAAAAAATATTAAAAATCTGATGGCAAAATCCTCAGACAACTTCAAATTTCAATTATCTTAATCCTTTACTTGATTGAACTCGATTAATATTTTCCAGAATTGGAAACCTGTCGATTGAATGGCCTTCCCTATTCGGTTCGTTTACATTTGTTATTTTATCTATTTCATGTTTAATCTGCAAGTCATTTATTTTTCCGTCATCATCAAATTAGCTTTTTCTATAACATAAAAAAACACATTGATCATTTGATCAAGTTTATAATAGGTTACTTAATAGATCTAAAGTCGGTAATGCGAATCAAATGGTATTAAATTAATCGAAATACACTATATTTGCTATTGCTACACGCAGAAGCAATAGATTCTCTGAACCATTTGAAGAACCATTTGTCTGTTGAATAAGAAACTGTGTAAGCATTATTGTTATAATGTAACCCATATCATCGAGAGCGCAGGGTTGTAAGGTGGCTGTCATGTCCTTATCCATTCACGTCAATAGTTCTTTATTCCTAAACAAAACGTATTCATCCATCATTGGGTAAATCACGTCTCAAAACATAACAATTGTAAAGATATAAACATCGAAGGTGAAAGTTCAATCCGATTAACGCCTGTCGGTTCCGACTTCTTGTCAGATAATTGTGGACATGCGCTATCGCAACTGTGTGGAGTGGACAATGGTCGGCCCAGCGGGGAAGATAACCCTGACGTATCTCACATCTCATCGCCTTGAAGATAAATGATAGCGACTACATAGTACAGCGTCGGCTTTTACTCTTTTATTGGTTTACCTGGTCTTCTCAGCTTCTGACACCATACAAATGAACAATGTCCTTTGTGTGTCTTTTAGGCTTCACTTTTATGCCCGCTAGGTGTTTATTAAGAAAATATACTGCCTGAACCGATATGTTTTGCCAGGGTGGTTTCCATAACCTTTATTTGATAAGATCCTGTTTCTATGAGTTTTATATATCACGACTCTTTGTTTTTTGATGCCATCTTTGGTTCGTTACAAGGTAAAAGATTGTACGGCGCCCACACGTTCATATTATTGCATCTGATTTTTGCATCGTGTTTTATACATGGATTACTTGCTTTTACATGTCGTGTTCTTAGGCGCAATATGTGTTGTTTAGAGGACAGATTACATGGTAATTGCGCTCTGGGTGTTCTTTTAGTCGCCGACTAGCTTTCGTGTTGCCAGAAAATGTAGGACTAAGTTTTAATAATATTTGAACAGATTTATCATTAGAAGAATGTCGACTAAAAGTAGCCATGTCGAATACTTGATAATTGTGTTGTGTAGTTTAAATACTGTGTGTGTATTTTCTATAATGTTTAAAATAATAATAACTTTAAATAATTTATTTCGCAGCCTGATTACGATGACATTGAAGGACATGACGGACGCGTGCCAACACAGTTCCCAAGAGGCAAATCAGATAAAGGCAAAGACAATAAGAAATACGGTAAGTGTATCTTATTTTTTTTTTGTAAGGAAAGTTTATTTTTATCTAACTACGAAGAAATAGACCGGCAAAAGAACAGTAAAATCATACAAGTGACCAAGACAAAAATGTCGTTCTGGCTTTACAAAAGTCCCAAAACTATAAGAAATCACTAAATCTCGGTCCACAGAACAAGACTCTAATTAGCTTCGATAAGGACATTCATAACTTAGTGGAACTTCAATTAACTTTCCCATTCGAGAAACAAAGGGATGTCCAAAAAGAAAATCAGAAAAAAATAGCATTAATTACTTGGACCGTATAAATTCTGTGGGTCGTATCACGGTGTTCTGTCTTGCTGAATAGGTAATAACAGTATTTAAAAGGAGAGGTTTCTGGAGGCGCCTACATTGAGAGCGGACTGCCGATCGCTCGCCCAGTTTGGTCATTACTATGCTCATAACTCCTCGGTAATGGACAAATAGGTTCAACTGATAGCGAACTGCAGTCGATTGTGATTTTTTCACCGACAAATGTCTGTGAAAACTTTTTGCTTACGATCGTACCTACGATTTGCGTTTTCTATCTTCGGTTGTATTCGTTTATTTGTATGAGTTAATATAAATTCGAGTCACAATCATTTTTATCACAAAAGTTCACAAGTAATGCGATTTTATTAAACTTCACTCGACACCACGTTTGTCAATTCATTACAAAACTTTCTATTTACATTTCACACGTCCAATCACAAAGATATTATTTACCACTAGTATTAGTCAAGCAATCACCGCCCTTTGCGACCAGAACTGTCCATTTGAACACGATGCCGGTGACAATGCTATGGATTTATGAATGCGACTCGCAATTTATTCAGGCATGTTGCAAGAACTTGCAAGTGTGAACCTTTATATCAACAACTCTAGTCAGATCATCATTTATAAACCCATGTCCACGCACCTCGTGATTTAAGGCAATATTTATAATATATGGAGTATGGACTTAAGGTTATAGGCACAATGAACTCGATACCTTTTGATGGGACTGTGATAAAACTGATATACTAGGGCTGTGCTTTTAAAGATTCATGATATCGTCGGTGTCACTGCATTTACCTTATGAACTGCTTCTAGCAAGTCGACAGTTTAGTAGACATATTTTCGCATATTATTATTTTTTTTGAATAGAGAATTTCTTTAGTTTATTACTAATTTCAGAATCATCATTTGTTAAATTTATAGTAATACATCAAGAGGTATCCAAAAGTATTTTAAACCTAGAAATACATATAAATAATACTCGTCCATCTCCAAAGTGGAATTTTGTGTTTCTAAGAAACTTTTTGTACGCAAAACGACAACCGAGTACCTAGGTAGTGTATCAAGAGCATGGCCATACATCACAGATTACAAGAGGACACTTACTCAACCACCACAAGCACCGTCTAAAAGGAGTAGATACTATTTAAAATATTAAGACTTATATCGACCCGACAAAGAGCCAAGTCTCTTTTGAAATATGAGCACAGTTTACGTTTGAATACACTTTGGACAGTTATGTTTTAACATTAAAAGACGTAGACACATGACTTGGAAATTGGTAGCTTTATGCAAATGAATTTCACGCATTATCTGATGCATAAGCTGTTTATGTTCACGGATTCCAGGCTGTCATTGTTGAGTCACGTTTGACACATTCTACATGCTGTATACCTGATCGGTTGTGACGTTTTTGGATCACATTCGCACGTTTTAATTCGAACAATTTGATTTCAATCTCCATTCATAAGAAGGGCTCGGTGCAGAGGTTATAAACAGACAATACCCCGGTGTCGCAACCGACGCCTGGCATTTCGGCGTATCCTTGATATTTGAATCGTCGGTATTTGGAACGAGCCAGGCGTAGGATGCGGAACATGGAACGTGCATGCGTCCGTTTTATAAGCGTGTGTTCGCTGTTCTAACATAGGAATAGGTGAACGATAACCATGTTATGTAAAGGCTCGTTTCCAGGTACTAACACGTCTATTGGTACTTGTTAGCATGTAATTTGATTTCGATTTTAAAATGTGGTGTTCTTATTTTCAGACGATCCTTACTACTGCGGTCTGCGGGCGCGTGTGCCTAACTTCGTGAAGACCAACGGCGCTAAAGTTCTACCATCCATGACTGAACGTCTGACTTTGAAGGAAGCTCCGGTGCCCAGCAAGCGTTACAGCGTGGCCCACGCCCACCCTGGACCATTCCCGCCCCACATGGCTCCGTTTGCACACGCTCCAATGCCACCACAGGCTTTGTGGCACGCTCGTTCTTACGAGAGCGGAATCGGTGCGTACGAACGTCTTCCCAGAAAAGAGAAGCTCATGTTCCAATTCTATCCGAACAGGGAACAGAAACGGCTGCGACCCCTCGTGATCCAGCAGCCGCGCTAGTGTATATACAGACTAACCCCGCACTTTAATTCCACCGCCTCAACGCGGACTCTTCGCTCCAATCTTGGTATTTAAACTTTCTGTTATATTAGATCGCTTCGCTTGGTAGCACAACTCGCCTGTAAGCTTCGTTTCCTCACTTTTCACACTTCTGAGTTCATCTCTCATCTTCATCAGTATCAAGTCTATCACGACCACACTTCCTTCTTGACAACCTTGTCAAATCCTGGTTCTTCCATGTTGCAAGATTTCTATCCTGAAAGCTTAGCTATCATCCTTAGTGTACTTTGAAAAGCACTACGTTCTAGATTCCAGATTAGGCAACACAGATCAGAAATTGGAAGAAGAAACCGCACCGCGTTGTTCCCTGTGTGTGTTTGTAACTAATAGTAGTACCCGTCTTTATTGTATCAATAACAAACCCGTTGCTTATCCCTATATGTTTGTAACATCTCCACTAACACTGCAAGATTTATGGAGTAGGTTCTGAAGATTTAGTTCACCCTGAGTTTTGAAAAGCGCTGAGCAATAAGGAGCCTCTCTGGCAAGCCAACTCATAAAAGAATAATGTTGATAGCGATAGAATTCGGTATTTAGACATGTATAATATGGTCGATGATGGTTATTTACAGACGGAGAACAGCATTATGATCCCTATGCGCTGTACGGTCGCCTGCCCATGCCTGGACGCGGCTTCCCCCCACCACCCGCCCCCCACGCGCGTCACATGTTCATTGGAGAGTGGGACTAGAGTGCGAATCACTTGACACCTGGCAACTAAACTTAGAATACTGTGTAGAACAAGGATACTGTCAAATCGACATCAACAACACATTTTGTGAATGAATATTAGCACTTATCACTATCGATTCGACAGTATTCTAGAAACGTATGTTATATTGTAAATATTAAACCATTTGTAAAATAAAAGGGATTTGAAATGTGTTGTATGATTCGATGATACATTTATTTACCTTTGTGTAATGAAAGGCGATTTATTTGCTTTGCGATAACGAGATTTTCTGTATGTATCACGTGTGACGCTGTAAACAACATTTTAATTTAAGTGATAGGATTAGAATATTATTTAGCAACTTTACCATCATGTTATAGTAGTAACCTATTTAACTGAATATTGTAAAAACGTAGGTTAAAATAATTAAAACAATAAGTTAACTATCACTGCCAATATTTAACGATTTGCGTGTTCAACGTCATCACATTATTTTGTCTTGTCGTTAAAATAATTTTCTCTTTATATTATTTAAGTGGCAATCCTAGTCAAAACAGGGTTGGGAATTTTAAATCGATTAGGGACTTTGAAATGTTTTTTGTTATTTTATTTATAAACTTCTTGAATATAACGGACTTAAGTATTTTTGAAAAATCCATAGCATAGCGTTTTTCTTTTTTACAAGATACTTAACCTTTCAATATATTATCTAAAATATTTTTTTATCAAGTGGTAAGGAGTTTATAGGATCTTTTTAATTTCAAAGCATCACGTATTGTTAATATTTTTGTTAATTGTGTGTAAATTACATATTATTGGATTTGAAATAATTACTAGGAATAAGTTAGGAATTCAATTTTAGCTATAATAAAATACTATTGTAAATATTTCACTTCTTCTCAGTTATGATAACTTTTATATTCATGTATTTCCTGATATATTTTCTACAATACTCAATTATCATAATAAACATATTATGTTAGTATCTAGTTGTGTACAACCATGTTGACAATTTAAATGTAATTTATTGTCACAATTTTATATTTAGGATTTTAATACTTTTATATAATTAGATATGTTTTGTATATGCAGGACATTTAAGACTTTATACCACAATATCCCAATAAATATTACATTTATTTTTAAATCAGGGTTCAAAAAATAAAAGATGGCGACTTGACAGCTACTGTCAAACCGCCATATTTATTTACAAAATAACAAAATGGTGGACAATTTTAAATCGACTGTTTTGTAATTATTTCAATGAGATAAATGAAACAGAGTTTATAACTGTTTCATAGTATTTACTTATAAAATCTCAATGTAAAATAATATCCTTGAAGTAGCTAAGGCGTAGATAAGCCTAGTTCTTATGGGGTTTTATTTTATATGCTTCTAAAACTGATATGTAGCTAAAAAATCAGAGGTGCTGCACAGGTTACCAATAAAATATTGTATCTTATGCATTATTATAGATAATTATAATGATACTTTTATATGAGAAAAGCACATCAAAATGTATAAGTATTTTTCTAAATCAAAGATGGTGATACAGGAAAATTGATTACGATAAGTAAAGTAAATGTATTAAGGAAAGAAATGAATAGTTTCCAGTTTAAACTGAACTGCACATTGCACCGAAGTCTTAAAACTGCAAGGTCAGATTATGCTGGAAATGTAATATAGGTATTGCTAATATTTTGCATCAAGAACGTACTGGCATTTGCAATAATTTGTATAGCATTTTTTTAATAAATATACACGAAAAGGTGTTCTTAGAGTCCTGTAACTCTGGCACAATGTAAATTACTGCTGTTTTTACGAATTTTAGTAATAAAACATCAACATCCACTTGTATTATGTTGTGTGGGGTGTTGGTTATCGAGTAACCTACTATAGGAAGACCGTTTATGAGTAAATATACAATTATTTTAATAAATAAACTCGTTTCATTGATTAATTTCATTCAATCCTTTTAACTTCCTAATTTGTTTATCAATTACAGAAATATTGAAGTCACAGATTCGGTATAAATATTAAGTAGTCAAATAAAACTACATAACTAGGTGTACTTAACATAACATCACGCCTTTTGTCACCAAAGGGTAGGCAGAAGTGCACATTATCTTCGGCACTTAATGCCACTGTGCAATGTAACACCTACTTTTCACCATTTATGTTATGAGTCCGATGTAATACCTATTGCCATATACCGGGCACAATTCCAGACTCTGTGCTACTATAGTGAATTTAAAAAAACCCAGTAGAGTTTTAGCCCTTTAGAACTGTACCTACTTAGTTAAGTTCAAAGTACCTATACTTATCATGACGGCTAGGTAACGTTATACCCCTTTGTGCACCTGGGAGGAACTTTTCAAGAAGAGTCAGAAATTCACCACTTAAAAAAAACGGTCTAAATTGTAGTTAAATTTAATTGTATTTCCGTGTTCAAAGTTATTAAGGTTTCTTATATTCTCCAGCACCAATCCATTTCTTGATTAAATATTTAATGTACTTCCTCGCTTCCTTTAATTCTTCTGGATCCTTCGACCTGTCTGAAAACAAATCTCTGCAGTGAGACGCTTGAGGTATCATCTTGGCTGGAGCATCATACGACACGTCTTCTAATACACCCAATCTACTCCATGGATCCAATTCACCATTCACAAACACTACATTCGTAAGATTAGGTTGCAGGCCACTGTACATATTATTTGAAATTTCAATTCCTTCGTCGACTCGTTTTTCATTAAAATTCTCCCCATAAGCCTTAGTACACATTGAATAAAAGAATTCTACCGGCACATTATTAAAAGGCTGGTCTTTCGAATCGGTAGTCGGAAAATAACCAAATTCCGTACAAGTTTGATAAGTCCAAGACATAGCCCAGTCTATGTCCCTCATCTGTTCAATCATTTCGTCGAAATCATAATTGAAACAGTTCTCTTCTTTGCTCAAAAATACATTGTCTTCGATACGAGAATTGATATGAAAAGTTTTCTTAACGTCTTCGCAAAAATACATTATGCTGTCAACGTCACCGTACTGAGCTTCGAACATGAAATTAGAAGCTTTGTCTAAAAAGAACATTTGCTTATTTTCTGGTTTCATCATATCTACGTCTTTACAAATTTCTTCTTCTTCCATGAGTTGAGCAATTCCCGAACTGGTTTTAAACATCTCATCGTACCTTTGAAATACTTGTCTTATCCTACTAATGCACCCATCAGGTCCATATTGCTCAAAGTCATAATTAACTCTTTCTAGATATTCGTGGAAGTTTTTCTTCGCTAGCACTGGTGCACTACTGGCGACAGCAGCATCAACTAGGTCAGGATACAGGAGTTTCATCCAAGCAGCCAAGTTGCCTGCGTAAGAACCTCCAACGACCACAACTTTTGATTCATTATACATCGGCGACATTTTTATGTCTTCTAACAACTTCGCTACGTCTGCAAGAGCTTGCCGAGAACTAAGATACGCTAAAGTTTCTGCATTCAAGTTTTTAAATGGTTTGCTTTTCCCATAATATCTGTGTTCAGACAAATACATGGCACCATTAGTTTCTTTTGCCAAATCATACAATATTCCTGTTTGAAGAAACACGTCGCTTGCTGCTCCTTCACCGTTGATAAACAAATAGATCGGTCCTTTTGGTTTCCAAAGATCAAGTCTTTCGAAATACCTCATCTTCCATGTACGGGTTTCGGTGTCATTGAAGTGGTCCAACGGTTGTTCTATCCACTTGGTAGAAATTTCAGATGAATCTGAGAATGTCATCGTGGATAGTAATTGTTGCATGATTTTATATTCATTATGAATGCCGAGGATTCCAAGTGCATCGGAGAAGTAGAAACAAGTAGATAGAACAATATTTAGTTCTATAAAATACATCGTTTTGGACGCAGTTACTTGCACTAGTGAGTGTAGTTAGAATACTGCCTCTTGTAGGCTAGTTTCGTCAGTTATGTTTGCTATTTGGAACGAGTTGAGCCCTTACTGTGTATATCAGTCAGACCTAAATGCGGGTACTAAATTCAGTTACGTGTCTCATGTTTGCGTCTGATGCAAATATGATGATAGTTACATTATATTTATCCACGTCAATGTAAATGAGTTAGTGATATGAATGTTTTAGTAATGTGTTGGTGATATACCGACAATCGAGGTGACTAGTAATCAACTATGTAAGTGCGGATTCGAAACCTAGATACTAGCAAGTATCATACTAAGTATTTTGTGAGCTTATGTAGCTTCTAAATAAAATGTTAGTATTTTTAATGTTATGAAATGTTTTATAGCACTATGCCATGTAAAACCAAAACGAGAAATATACGAAAAGTGATTGTTTATCTAATGACAGATATTGCTATCGTAAATTATCAAATCATTATTTTTACGAAATTATCACATCATCTCCTTCTTGACAATGAATCTAACACCTGAGAAAGTTGATTTGCAAGCACTGTGCATAATTTGTTTACAAAAAGCTAAACACTACATTAATCTGTTTTGTAACAACAATGAATCCAAAGAAACTCTGAACAAAATATACCAATGTTTTCAAGTTACACTATCTCCTGATGAAAGTATACCCTCCTTAATTTGCGGTGACTGTCTACATGAACTGAATGTTGCTAATAACTTCAGACTCAAGTGTGTTACGCTCAATGAAAGAATTGAGTTATATTTGAAAGAAAACTTACAAAAAGACAAAAACCAAGTTGAAAATGGCCATAGTAACTCTATATCAAATTATGACGATGGCCCAGATTCAGACTCATGTATTAATGACTGTTCTGATTTAAATGTGGTGTGTAGAAAGGTCAATGAAGTTAATAATGCTAAAGAAAATGATTTACAAAAAGAAACAGGTAGCTTTAAATGTAATTTATGTCATAAAGTTTTAAAGACAAGAATCACACTACTGAAACATTATGTATCAATGCATGAGAAATTAACCAGGCGCTTACAAAACTGCGCTATAATTTAGTAAAACTATAAAGAGAATACATACTAATTTGGAAGGTCAAAACAGAATAATAGAAACTATATTCTAATACCAAGTACTGGCGGGCACAACATCACCCGTCTAGTCATCGCCGTTACCATGGCAACGCGTCAAACAACAAATCTAATGCGCCGGTCGCCATCAAACGTTTGACCTGGTTAATGTGAAAAAAAGTAATTAATTACTTGGTATTGTTATGGATTTTTCTGAGGGCAGCGCGGGGGCGGGGGGTAAGAGGCCGGACGCCCCTAGACCAGTTTCCAGACGCGGTTACAGGGAGTACACAAACACAGGCTCAGCTGTGTCTAGGTAAGCTCTAGTACTTTAAACATAAGATAGAATTTTCTGTGACATGTTTTATAGTGCGTTATGTGTGTTCAATGTTTATATTGTTAATTAATTGGTTAGCAAGTTCTAGTGCTTTTACGGCCGTACCTATCTTATCAGGAGCTGTGGTACTTAGTTGCCTATGAGCCCTTGTTTTAACTGTACCTACGTGACTAGGTGAACGTTTTTGTTGCATAGTAACTAAGTATATAGACTTAAAATTGCGTTCATAAAAGTTTTATGTGTATATTATACCTACTTGGTTAAAGAAAAATCATTAGCTTAAGTAAAATATCTAGTCTAGTATATAAAATCAGGTGAGTTTCTACATTTTAACAATATATCTACACTAATAGTATAAAGAGGAAAGATTTGATTTTTTTTTTGTTTGAATGGAATCTCCTCCGAAACTACTGGACCGATTTGAAACATTCTTTCACCGTTCGATTCCTACATTATAGATGATGAACATAGGATATATTTCATAAGAGAGAAAAAGGGGAGCCGTGTGAAAATTTTGATAATGTTACCCGATGTGTGAAAATACTTCCAAAAAACTCTTTATATTGCTTGAGCCTTGGGCTATATTTTGGAGACTATTTTTTTGTTTTTTTATTAAACCAAATTTAAAAATAATCTATTCTGTTCAAATATTTGCGTATCCTAGGCATTCGTTGAATTCTTTACGCAGTCTTTAGCTATTTATTCATTATTAATGTAAATAAATTAAGTAAAGTTATCAATACCTACACATAAATGCACAACATTGATATTAATGGTATCATGACACCTCCTAAGTATCTTAGAGACCCCTAAAAAAAATATATTATCACTTCCCCTTCTAGAAGTGGCACAATGAGGCCGACATCAGCGTACAGAGGGAGTACAGCATCACGGCTGTCTACAGCTGGCTTCGGACCTGCTCCGCCTACCGCTAGTCGACAGCCAACCGCCATGACTGGGTTCTCTATGGTATGTTTTATCAGGCGCAAACCAGGGAATATAGTATTACATACATACATACATAACATCACTCCTTTTATCCCCGAAGTGGTAGGCAGAGGTGCACATTATGCCACTGTACAATGTAACACCCACTTTCCACTATTTGTGTTATGAGTCCCATGTAATAGGGGGTGAGCCTATTGTCATATACCGGACACAGTTGCAGACTCCGTGCTACTTTAGTACCAGTAATACTTTGCCCGACCCGGGAATCGAACCAGAGACTTGCGTCCGGCAGTCGCACTTGCGACCACTCGTCGAGGCAGTCGGAATATATTATTATTATATTTTAAACGTAACATCCACTTTTCACTAGCTATGTTATGTACGAGTCTTATATTCTAAGAGAGAAAGGTTTGTTGTTGCAAACTGACGTTGTTGCCGCCAGGATTACCACCTTTCAAGAAAACAAATGTATTGGATAGCTAACCTAGCACATCGAAAATTATTAGCATGCCTTAACATATTTTTGAGATTTTATAAATGGGCCCAGTTCTGCCAAGGGCCATATGACTCTGTCCTTTAGTCAGCAAATGTGTCATACTTGGTGTTACCCAAGGGGACTTACGAGAACTTAGCAATTTTTTAGCTAGTACATCTAAATTTTAAGATATTTCAAATATTTTAAGACTGGAAATTACCTTAAAATGAAACCAATACTACCTATTCATTAACAGAGACATTTTCTTGAGGTTACTATTCTATTCACGAGATATCGTCTGTAATAAAAACAGTCACACTATTTACTTTTCTCAGATCGACAGACCAATAACACAGCAAGGCATATCAGGTCTTCGAACTGGCACTGCTAGAGGGTTCCGTACCCGTCAGCTGCAAGACAAACGGTATTGGGAAGAGCTGATGCAAGTAAAAGTTAGGGAGATGAAGGCCGAGATAGCCAGACTCAGTGAGCAAGCTGATGCAGGAGAAAGAGAGAGATCAGCAAAGAAACACTATGAGAAGAGAGTCAGGGAATTGGCTTTGGAGTTGACTGGTAAGTTCAAGTGTTTGAATTAGAATGTATTCTATTTCATGTTGAAACAAAACATTAAGAAGATCTAACAGACGTTTTTGGTGATATTTCTGTTTTAGGTTACAATTATAGGTTTTGCTTTTTTGGTATTAAAATCATATACGCGTATTTATTATAGGAATCCTAAAGTCCAAACCTTATTTATAGATTTACAAGGCCGTCTAGCCGACTACAACACAGCGATTCGCATAGCTAATGGCGAAGCCAATAAACTGATCGTGGAGGAACAGACCAAAGACTTGGAAGCAAGTAACCAGAAAATGCAAGAAGAAGTTGAACAGGTCTTCATGGAGAAACAGAGGAAGGAAAACCAACTACGACAATTAAGGGAACAGATGGATAAGGTAACTTTTGTAGACATAAAGTTATGAAGACCATATAATTATCCACTTTTTAACTGTCATTGTATACGTTCTATAAAATGAGGCTAATCTAGTCGCCTATAATGGGCAAGACCCATACTACGTTGATTAAGTATATTTGAGGAAGAACTCGATGTAGCACTACAGATGAATGGTTTTCTAGGAACAATCAACAATCACCAAGCTGCTAGCAGAAATGACACAGGAACAGAAGGATGAGTATAATGAACTAGAAGCAACTGCAGCTGCGCTAAGAGAAGAAGTGGAGCAAGCGAGGACTCATATTGATCATCTCAATAGAGAAAAAGGCGAATTTAATAAAGAAATATCTGGATCTCAGGTACCTACTCATTTTAGGAAGAATAAGTAAGGGGACTTTGCAAATAAATTCTCATTGTTCGTAATGATTTAGATAAAGGTCAATCTATTGGAGCTACATCGTCGACTATCAGCTGCTGAAGAGAAACGCGACAATATGAAGAATGAGATGAACAACCGTTTGGATCCTCAAGAAGAAAGAGAGAAACTGTTACTCCAGGTATGGAATGATTGGATTGATGTTTTACTAATAGTAACAAGTGTATACCGATATAGTTTTAAATATTGTTTTTAGGTTCGAGAAGACAACGCTGCAATCTCATCTTTGGACAGTAACGCTGCAAATCTAAAGGAACAAATAAAGAAAGTGCAAGAATTAATCGAACAAGCTGAACAGGTACCATCAACAGATCCTCATAGTTTTCTTTTATATTTGATGGGCCGACGTTTGACCACTATCTCGACTGGTGGTAAACGATGATGCGGTCTACGATGGAACACGTCATCCCAAAAGCAACCTATTCACGCGGGCCTTGAAGAAACCCAGGTATACCCTTCAGGAAGTATAGATTCTGGCAAAAAATCTACTCCTTAGCAGTACGAACAAGGAAGCTTGACGTGAAGCGCTTCGTGCATGTGGCTTCCATATCTACCATGAATCGGTAACACTTCGCCAATTGTCTTGTGGTACGATGATAGCTTTCCACCACAAATGACGAATGTTAACCTCCCTCTAAGATCACCTATTTGTGTATCATTTCCAGGATTTAGAAGAAGGAAATTCTGATCGCCATCAGAAATACAGAGAACTAAAGAAAAGAGAAGAAACAATGGATACGTTTATGGCTTCGTATGAAGAAAACCTCAAAAAGGAACAGGAAAAGATAGACCAGTTGGAAAAAGATATCGTCTTTGCCTTGGAACATAGTAGTTCTAACATTGATTTAGATTTGAGCGAGATAGACTCGTTGAAGCAGAAAGATGGGTACACTTCTCAATATGATGATAGCAAGAAATCTGTTGAGGTGCTGACTAAAGATTATGAGAGGTTCCAAGCTAACTTGAAAAAGGTAAGAGATTATAATGTCTGTCTTTGACCACCAGGAAACCTTAACACCTTTATTTTAGACGGTACGATGTTTTTGCTGGGGCAGCTGGTATAAATATAACTAAGATCACAACTTTGAAAGTATAAAAAAAATTAATGTAGAGGTATGTCTGGTAGGTACCTACAGTTCAATAAATCATCTTACACTCAAAAATCTATTTTTTGTTAAAAAAACTAATTTAAGTAACACTGGGTTCTAATAGGTTTTTTTAAATTCAATCTGACGCTACTTGGAATGTTCATTACTTTGTGCAATTCCTAAAATACTTTGAGAGAATCGTTATTCTCTAAAAGTTACATGAAGCCTTACATGTCGAACTTTATTTGCAGAGTTGAGTAGCTCTTATACTATAATGGGGAGAAGGGGATATTGAATTTAAGTATACCTACATATATCATGATGTATATCAAATTGGTGTTACAGGCTGAAGCAACTAGGGAACGTCTCGCCACAGAACTGCAAACGTTGCCAGAGAAGATGAAAGTCATGCAAGAAGAACTGGTAACGTTATCAGATCTAGAGAAACTTCGAGATGAAGGTAATCAAAACAGAGATTTAACACAATAAATTGCGTATTGTAAAATAAGTAGTGGTTCCAATTTGTCTCATGTTTATGTTCTAGGTGAAGAGCAAAAGAAAGCTTTAGAGACAGAGCTAAAACAGCTGAAAGAAAAATTGGCTCCCACAGAAAGTGCTGTCTTAGAGGCAACCAATAAATTGAAAAGCATACAGGTAAGTTCTCTATTAATTAAATTGTGTATGTTTTCTGTTCCAGCTCTCAACATCAATAGGTAATGACAAAGTTTGGTTGCATTTCTATATGAATTTCAACCTTATACAATTGTACTGTCGCGGAGAACCTAACGGGTAACCGGGGCTCCGGCTCGAGGTGCAGGAGAAGGAACGGGGTGGTTTTTACTCAATAAGAGTCTGACACTCCCTTTCGCCTCACCCAGGCGGGAGCAGTCATAATGATGAATTTCCCCACTTAAAAAAAAAATACATTTGTACTAAAGAATAATTTCGCCATTTACAATTTATTTTAGACTTTGTGTTACTACTGGCACTTTTAAAAACCCAGTAACACTTTTTTTTTAAAGGGACAAGCCCGCCACAACCTCCCAAAACCGCTGCAACTCCTGTAAGCCAGGATCTACAGTAGATACAACCTGTAATACTTTGCCTGTTTCCAGACTCTGTGGTACTACTGAGATTTTTGTTAAAAACCAGTAATACTTTGCCTAACCCGTAAATCGCACCCGAGACCCCTTACACAGCAGTCGCACTCGAGACCACTCGGCCAACAAGGCTGTCACAGTACGTGAACGTAATGATTAATATGTGTGTTTCATTCTAATTACAGGCAAGCCTTGACGGTAACGAAATGTACACCAAACTCAACGCGCTAGAAGAACAACTGGCTCAGCTGGAGACAAGGAAGACTGTTCTAGAAGAGGATATAGCGTCTATAACCTTGAAGGCAGACTATGAGCCGTTAAAGAAACAAGCTATTGATGAACTGGCCATGCTGAACAAGAAGATTATCGAGGATTTGAGTAGTATTAAGTCTTATTAATGTTTATAGAGCAAATAAAGTGACTGTGTTATGTTTCGTGTTTCTATTTTGTGTATTGGAACAGGCTCAACAGCTAACGACTGTATTAGGAAATTTGAAACCCTGATTATTGAATGGGTTTTAAGTTTTGTGATCACGATATTGCGCTAGTGAGGCGTATGGTCCTTTTGATACAATCAGCTAAGCGGGCACAAGTTGACTGAGTAATGATTTGATACTAGAAAGAGTGTAGGTTAATAGGCCTAAAGCGATATCAGCGCCTCTAGTGGCGCGAAAAGTCTAACTCTCGTTTGCACGTAGCGGGTTTCAAATTGAAACAAAGCATATAAACAACATTTTATTATTAGTTTATTACTTCAATAATTTAATATCACAGATATATTCAAATATTGTATAATAAAACTAGATAATTTACTTACTAAAAAATGCTACACTTCAACGGAAAATACGACTGTATTAACGACGGCATTGAATTCAAATTACATTGATTTGTTTAGGAAACATTTTATTAATCGCGACATTTGTGCGGAGCAGTATTTTGATATTTTTTCTCAAATTTTCGACAATAAAACATATACTAACATGAAAAGTTCAAAGTTCAACACTGGGTTGTTAGGTGAAACTATAAATGACTGCCGTGTATCATGAATAAATAAATGAGCAAACATTGAAAAATAATTAAGAACTAAAACGGTACATAATAGTTTAGAATATAGGTACATATTGTATCATTATGGTGGTTGTAAGAAAGACGGGCAAACATTTTTATTTCATAGAACTAGAAAAACTACTTTTGAGGACCGATTCATTCCTAGCAATCTTCACGGCGTTTCTGCAATATCTGTTTACCATTCGACTCATCGAAGACGAAGCCGAAAATCCTGTTTGTCAGTGCAATCTGGTAAGCATACATCGTTAGCCTTGTGCCAACATTATGGTTAAACATGGCCAATACAAAAAAAGTGTTGGATATTGATAAATAAAAGAGTAATGAATGGAGTTTCCTACTCCTACTTCTCCACTCCTTTGTGGAACAAGCCTAGCTACACTGACGTACAGACTATTATTTATTTTTTATTTGTTAACGTTTCCAAACTACCAAATCATGGTTGAGTACCTTCATTATAGACACAATTAAAGAACAATAGGTTGCGGTCACCGGTGACCGCTTGGTGGTTTAATTGAAAAATGCTTTTGTAGTTTGAGTTTGCTACCAATATAACTGATAATGGTGCCAACCGCTGTATTGTTACCCGTTTATCAATATAATCACCTACCATCAGACACTACAATAACGGATTTTAATTCACATGCCTAAACACTTCAGTCTTTCAAAGCATTCTTCTTTTCTTTATTTAGTAACATGGCTAGTCCAACTGGAACGTCTCTATTGTTCGCTTTTATCATAGTTATTAATGTATGTACAAATTTCTGTGATGGTGTTATATCTTGTTCTTGCATTCTCGTCCATAACGCCAATGCTTCTGTGCAGTTGTCTTCGCGTTCTGTAAAAGAAAATTAAATGATCTTACACAGTTACATAACATCACGCTTTTTATCCACGAAAGTGAGGCAGAGGTGCACATTACGGCACTTAATGCCACTGTACAATGTAACACCCATTTTTCACTATTTATGTTATGAGTTCCATGTAATAGGTGGTGAGCTTATTGCCATATACCGGGCACAGTTCCAGACTCCGTGCTACCATTGAGAAAAACTCAGCAATACTTTGTCCGACTCAGGAATCGAACCCGAGACCCCTTGCCCGGCAGTCGCATTTGCGACCACTCGGCCAACGAGGCAGTCTTACAAAAAAAGAAATCAAAGCTACTCACGATGAACATCCAGTATTAGATCATACAGCTCTATAACGTCGACTCGTCTCAAATCCTTCCCGCACTCGGCGATGACCTCCAAAGCGTTGACTTTCTTTTCATCAGCGAATCGCTCGCAGCGTCGCAATATGGCGTCCGGGTGTATCTTTATTGTAGGGTCGAGGAATATTTTACGTAAGGTCTTCTTGTAGCCAACTTCTGCTAATGCTGCTATTATTGTTAACTGAAAATTATAACATAACATAACATCACGCCTTTTATTCACGAAGGGGAATGCAAAGGTGCACATTACGGCACTTAATGCCACTGTACAATGTTTCACACAACACTAACGTTTCACTATTTATGTTATGAGTCCTATGTAATAAGGGGTGAGCCTATTGCCATATACCGGGTAATTCTAGGCTCCCTGCTACTACTGAGTTCTGCTTTGCCCGACCCGCGAATCGGACCCGAGACCCTTTACCCAGCAGTCGCACTTGCGACCACTCGGCCAACCATGCAGTCAAAATTATTGAATTATATATAAAAGAAAGTCGTGTTAGTTACACCACATATAACTCAAGAATGGCAGAATAGATTTGGCTGAAAATTGGTAGGGAGGTAGCTTAGAGCCAGGAGACCGACATAGGATACTTTTTAACCAAATTTTTTTTTTACTTTTTACCGAAAATCACGAACGGGGACGGGAAAAAATGGGATTACGCGTACGAAGTCGCGGGCAGTAGCTAGTTGATTTATAAAATCTGATATTACCTGTACATCACCCGGACCATGAATCTTCTTATCAATGTTCAGTACGATCTGAGCCAACTTGTTCAGTCTTACATTAGACTTCTCATTGGTCAAGAAGTTCTCTTCTGATTGGCCGTCACTCATGTTTTGTAGTATTTTACATAGCAACTCGTGTTTTAATGGAGTTTTGTTGTATTTGTTCGCTAATGCTATATACTCATTGACTGCTTCTTGTAGGTTATCACTGAAAGAAAATTGAATTGGTAAGTATCTGATTTTGGTGAAAAATATACAATTGTGCTTTGAGTTGATGTTGATGTTGATGAGTTCTGTGCGATAGGGAGTGAGCCTATTGCCATACACCGGCTACAAATAGAGACTTTTTAGATTTTTCTTATTTTTAAATTAAAATTAAATGGGAAATTTGTTTTTGTACTAACAAAATCGTGAGACATATTAAATTAAGTAAAATCGCGGGTTACTCACGTGAATATACTGAGAAAAGCTCTACTAGTTTCGAACCACAGAGGGGTTCTTCCTCATGAGCATCGTGCGCGGTCACGGCGACCGCGATTTTACTTAATTTAAATGGGAAATTGTCTAGATACTCTGCTTGTCCCAGGATTCGAACCCAAAACCGCTTGCTTGGTAGTCATACGAACACCCGAATACCATGGCAGTTTATAACTATGACTAATTCTAAATCAATTCATCATGCACAGAAAAACATACTTTATCCCCTTCACAATAAGATCAAATTTCCTAAATCAAACAAAAAGAATCTTACTTTTTTAAATGCACTCGTATTAGTGGCCCCAGCATGACATTACTAGGCTTGCAGTATTTGTTATCGACGAGTAGGTCGAACATCTTCCTAACTTCTATGTGGGAGCCGTGGGCGGCCGTCGCGTCGAGCAGTCGCCAACAGTTCATTGCTATACCGCGACCACCTATTACGTTTCTGTGTACAAATTTATACCATCAGCTTTTGAAAAACGGTGTCTTTTTAAGTAGTAAGTTTGTTATAACCCCCATACTAAATTTCAAAACCCATGAACTGTCTGTAATAGAATTTTCACGAATGGGCCTGCTCGACCGGAGTACCACGGCCTCAGAGAACACCGTGTGAGTGAGGTTACCGGCGACCCAACTACCCCCCCCCCCCCCTCCCTTCCACACTCCCTGAATCTCCAACATAACCCAACAGCACAACGAAGCAAGATTCTTACTCCCGAATACTGGCGTAAGAATCTAGTAAAGGCTACTCAATTTTAACATACATAACATCACGCCTTTTATTCCCGAAGGATTAGGCAGAGGCGTACATTATGCCACTACAATGTAAAACCCATTTTTTACTATTTATGTTATGAGTCCCATGTAATGGGGGGTGAGCCTATTGCCATACACCGGGCACAATTCCAGACTCCGTGCTACTACTGTCAATTTTTTAAAAACCCAGTAATACTTTGGCCGACCCGGGAATCAAACCCGAGACCCCTTGCCCGGCAGTCACGTCATTTGCGACCACTCGGCCAACGTGGCTGTCAATTTTAAATTGTACTTCAATATCGTGCCATCTCTGTTATTTTACAAAGAATCTGTAGTGACAGAACTATACTTAGGCACGACTTAAATTGAGTAGCTTTTCAGTATTTCGGCATTAGTAAACCAAAAAATAACAAGTATCGAAGTTAACCTTACCTCTTTTTAGACTGCTGAGTGATCAAATCGAATGCTTGGCTAATCTTCTTTCTATATACCATGAGAGTAGCAAAGTCTATAACTTTGTACTCGTCGAGTGTGAAGTTAGGCGAGGACTTGTTGAGGTCCGCTAGTGCCAACTCTGCGAGGTCCAGCTCCCCGAGTTTGACGTGAAGATCGAATATTGCTGCCTTCATACCAGCTGATAGGAATACCTGGGGAAGAAATAAGGATCAATATGTGCTGATTTTTGGAAATACAGTAGCCACACATCAACCCACTCCAATGTGTCAATTTTTATCATTTGATTTTCGACTTTATACCCAAACGATAGAGTTGAAAACTAATTAAAGAAATTTGACTGAAAAGATTAAGTTGTTTTGTATTTAAAATCTTAATCTGACGAATATTTTATTTTCAATGTCAATAACTCGGAATTTTGACCTAATTGACATAGAAAGAAAGGTGAAGATCATCCTAAACCCTGGTTGAGTATACTGCAAAACGCAGACATGATTAATTTGATATGAGAAAAGTTGTTTCAGTACTGATTTTTGAATAAATTATTACAATTACTTTGATAAATTTTCGGCTTTAACCAAAAGCAATAAGATTGACAATCGGTAGACACAGTTTGGGATCCCACTTACACACATTTTGTATAGAGCTGTAGTCAAAATTCTATCTCTAGTAAGCAAATCTACAGATAGATACGTTATAGAAACTGGACGTTAATGTACTTCATGATCTGTATTATATTCATCTTCTTACCCCTTCCTTCTGACATTTAGCAGCAATCTCCCTGGCAGCGTGTAGGTTCCCGTCCCTACAGTACTGTTGCAGTAGCTTCCTGAGAGTACCTCTCGTGTTCATGCCCTTGGCTTCCAACTCTGACAGGTGAGCGCGCAAGTCCTCTTCGTTCATTTGTTTCTGGAAGTTGTCATTATTGTAATGTTACACAAATTTACGCTCATTGGCATTGGTTACATTATAAGTTTCATAAATAAGCCTGACGGCATGAAGTTGCTAGGGATTTGAATATGTCCGAGTAGCGAAGGACCACGTCCCACACGCGCCTTGAAGAGCCATCAGACCACTACAGATGGGGCCCAGCAGGGCTGATGCCGTTACGGAGCCGCAGAAGGAATAACGGGTTGCCGGGGCTCCGGCTCGAAGAGCAGGAGTAGGAACGGGGTGGTTTTTAGTCAGTAAGAGTCTGACACTCCCTCTCGCCTAAGGCGGGAGAAGTCATTGAGTGATTTTCCTCCCTCAAAAAAAGGGATTTAAATATAAAAAAGTAAAATTATGGTGTTTTCCAATTTGAAAATGAGCCTGGTAGTCACATTTATTTGTGATTACTTAAACATGTGACAGTGCACTTAACACAAGGTGAAATAATTGAATAAATATGAACATATTTATGACCTTTAGACCTATTCTGCATAAGTTCCTGCATGCTTGGCAGGTGGGTTCGAGATCACATTTACTTAATGAGGTTAGAATTATCAAAGTTCTTTTAACTACTCTCTTACAAATGTATAGATCTTTATGTCGCTCTTATAGCATACGCGGAAAGAGTAGCGATGGTAACTCATATGGTACATTAAAGAGAGAAACCTTATTCGAATCATGTTATAAAACTTACCGGGTGCGGCAACTGTTGGTCGAATATATCACCGTCATCTAGAAGTCGTTCGTCTGTCACTGCGATTATTTTATCCCGAAATTGATCTCCTACGTGCACCCCGAACTTATCAGGATAACGGGACAAGCAGAAATCTGCAGCCACCGTTGATACTTTTAACGAACTCTTTTCTAGACCCTGAAAAAGAAAGATCATATGAGTAAAGAGAAAATGTTTGAATATAAACAGAAGTATTGTTCTTGTACTATTTCAATCTGCCTCGTTGACCAAGTGGTCGCAAGTGCGACTGCAGGGCAAGGGTCTCAGGTTCAATCCTCGGGTCGGGCAAAGTATTACTGGGGTTTTTAAAAATTCTCAGTAGTAGCACGGAGTTTGGAATTGTGCCCGGTATATGGTCACCCCATATTACATGTTTATTATTTTCGGGTTACTCGCGTAACGACGTCGCGGGTCGCGGAATGCTGCTCATAAATATGAACCTCTAGCATGGCTTGAAGCTAGTCGAGTTCCTCGTCAAATAATAGCGTAAGACGAAAAATATAATCATTAATCAAAGATCAGGTATCAAACTAAATGCTAACATACAGTTTACCATGCAAAAAGTTTTAAAGTCAAAGTCAAAATCATGTATTTCAATTAGACCAGAAAGGCACTTTTGAACGTCAACAAAAAAAAATCATACAATTACTTAAGCAGTATACTTAAAACCTACACAAATACAATGGGGATGATGACAGGGTATGAAAATTAAAAATATAATTAGTCCGTAAGTTAGGTAATGAAAAAATATTAGACACGTATTTTTTTATTTTGTCGTATAATAAAACAATACTTAGATAAAACGAATCAAAGTTTAGGAGTGGGGGCTAAAACGTCATTCCTTAGTATAAAATGTACTGAGAAGTGACGTCATGCGACATTTCAAATCAATATATCTTCGAAACTATTCGTTTCTGTGAGAAAATAAAAAATACGTGTCTAATGTTTTTAAATAATCTATCAGACGGACATTAAAATAAAAATTAGTCGTCTACCCCATTAAATACCAGTACAAAATCAAAGTCTCACCTTCAACAAATTCAATACATCACTGATATCGCTCTTCACTTTCGGATGTACCATGAACTTGCATAGGAACCGACCGACCCAGTCCTTGTTCTTTTCTATAGACCTGGTTGATACATCTTCCAGGATATGTACAGTGGCCGTCACATCGGTACTGATCAGGTAGCCTTTTAAAAGAGGTTTTAACAGTTTCTCTGTATCCACTTTACCTTGGAATAGTTCACCTGAAGAAGAAGAGCAAAAAAAGGAGGTAAATTAGATACCTTGACTCCAGCTCTATCAGTCTACTAACATATACTGACCAGATTGGCAATATAAGTATTAAAGAAGGGCCAAATTAAAAGTACCCTTAACCGACGAGCATGCATGAAAAGATTGATGACTATTGATGAAACGAAAGAGGTATCTAGGAATCGTAGCAATAGGGTAGTTTCCCAAATTTTATTTTAATGTCTGTCTGGTACATTAATTTAAAACATTAGACACGTATTTTTTCTTTTCTCACAAAATTGAATACTTTGAAAGATATAATAATTTGAAATTTAGTAGCACGTTATGACGTAACGGCCTCCCACTCTTAAACTTAGCGCCATTTTATCTAAGTATTGCAACGTAATACGAGAAAACAAAAAATTTCCGTGTCTAATATTTTTTAATTATATAACTGACGGACTAATTACATTTTTAATTTTGATACCCTGGAAACTACCCGACGAATTGGCGTTCCATAGTCTCTGACTACCCCCATGGGAGACAGGCGTGAAGTTATGTATGACTCCAAGTCTTTGATGACCAATTGACCAGATAGGAAAAGGAATCATAGAACATATTACTCTATCGGTCATAGAATGACAAATGATCTGATAACCATTTCAAAAATAGACTGAAACTACTTGAACAACGATGAATCTAATGAAAGCTAGTGTGTTTGTCCATATGAGGTTCAAAACCTGTAAACCTGTAAGGTGGAAACAAATTGCTTTCAAATACTGAAAAAATGGTTTTTACAATTTTAATAGTTTTTCTTTTTGTGTTATTCCTGCAGCATCAGCCTTGAGTGGTTGATTACAACTATTATTACATAAAAGAACCATTTTATTCCTTACTTTTATGATAATAAAACTTGTTTTTACCATCACCTATCGGCGTTAATCGAAAGCATTCCGTTTACACCCTGTATAATTAAAACGTTCGAACACTATGAAGCTTAATTTAAATTTCTTCGTCAAAGTTAACACCGGAAAATACCTAATCTGCAGCTGTACCCAAATGCCATTTAGTGACTAAATTGTAAGGCAGTAGATTACGACATAGATTTTGACACTTGTCAGTGTCATCCCCATACATTAATTTTCTACTCTCTCTGTAGACAAGCGCTAAAGTGCGTTTGGCTAAAGGCACAGGACTTTAAGCGACACCAGCGCCTCTAGCATCAAAACAAGTCACTATAACACCTTCAAAATAATACTCACACAATTCACTAGCCGCTCTAACTTGCCCTGTGTTCAACAACGTTTGCATCATCGGTGTCAATACATTCGATACTGTTAGTCCAGTTTCTATGAACTTCTTCATCAAATTCTGTGGGGAATTGAAGCTGACGTAGGGTAAGGTATATTCCAGTATCGTGTCGTAGTCTGGTTTGACGTCCATCTGCACCATTGTTGTTAGAGTGTTCATTATACCTGGAAAGTCAGTCGCATTTATTATCATCCTTTATTATACATCGGAAAGTGAGTTTGTTTGTTTGTTTGTTCCGCTTTAACGCCGTAACTACGATTGCTTTGAATTTTTGCGGACGTAAAGTTAGAAGTGTGGATTTAATAGGGTACTTTTTATCCCGGAAAAATTTGGTATTCTCGAGGGAAATCTAAATTTTTGGTATAGATGGCGCCGTGTGTATTAGCATATGTCACATAGGCTTTTTATCTTTTTGTGATGCGTCGAAGCCGCGGGTAAAAGCTAGTCTTATATATTTTTTTTGTAGCTGACGAATTTGTTTGTTTGAATGCGCTAATCTCAGAGCTCGTACACAAAACTCGCATCGCAAAAATGTGTGAGATCCCTCTACGCATCGCAAGAACTTGCGAATTAATTCATCGCGCATCAAAATGTTATCTTTCCAAAATCTTCTTTGTTTTTTTTTCTGTTTCTCTTAAGCAATAATAGAAGTGCACGCTTATTTTTACGATTTATGTCACGACCTAGTTTTGAATTTAAAATACGTTTAGGACGGTTGACGGTCGTCGAAGGAATAGTCACCCTGGGATTCGCCTTGTCGCACGAAATCGCATCGCAGAAATTCGCATTGTAATTTTCTGCGTTGCGAATTCCCATCGCAGTTTTGTGTACGAGCCCTCAGGAACCACTGGTTTGATTTGAATATTTGGTAAATACTCCATTTATTGAAGAAGCCTATAAGTTATAAAATATCACGCTAGGATCAATAGAAGACGAGAAGAGCGGGCGAAACCGCGCAGGAATAATTTTTTCCAATAAGTGAACTCACTAAAGTTTTAATTACTTTTTTATTCGTCAATATATTTAAACCAATACCTCCCCAACTATGTTAGAGTCAATACTGAGTCTTACATGCATTCTAAATAGCAGTATTTTGCATAAAGCAACTATTATAATCAGCAGCTGTAGCCAAATGCCATTTAGCGCTTGTCTACTTGTAGAATAGAAAACTAAGCTATATGGAATACGGTAGTTGACAACTAGTCAAATTCAATACTTTTATCGAAACGTCAAAAACGATACTGTTCTATGAATTTTGTATGAAATACTAGCTTATGACGTCATCATATTTTCGCGTCAAATAGCACACTTACATCTGAAGAAAATGCAAGAATAAATCGAAAATTAAGTATATCGGCAAATCAATGAATGAAAGTGTAACTATTTTTCAATATTTAATTGGATTGAAAAATCAAAATAATTTATTTTTGACCCAGGCAACCCAATTGATGTAAATTTTGACACTTGTCAGTATCATCCCCATACATTTAGTTTTCTACTCTCTCTGTAGACAAGCGCTAAAATGGCGTTTGGCTAAAGGCACTGTTGTCCTTAACTCACATTTCAAACTTCGTACTTCTGATTTAAATAGAAATTGTTTATTGAAACTATTGATTACAATTTTACTTTCTGATTTCACTACATACCTTTCTCGCCATAGGACTTCGAGCTATGTAGTAAAATGGGCCAGAAATAATGTGCTCGGAGCGTAATTCCAAGTTGTTTCATTCTAGTCATTAAGTCCAGAGCTAGAGGGACCTTGCCCAGCTGTAAGGCAGCTTCACAAGCATTCTGTAAGGCTATCGGATTGCGGCCTGAAGACATTAGCTCTTGAGTTACAAGACCTATTATGCTTGACGGCTGGAAATTAAGGAATTAATTACTTAATTAACTAATCGCGGGTTACTCACGTTAAAATACTGAGAAACTCTACTAGTAGAGCTCTACTAGTTTCGAACCACAGAGGGGTTCTTCCTTATGAGCAGCGTAGACTAGTAGAGATTTTCTTAATTAATTTGATATGTCTCATGATAGACACGATAGAGAAATTATTACTTTAACAAGTTGTTCAACAAGTCTTTGTTAAGACAACAATGTCAGTATAAAATTGAGTATGGTTAGCTGAGATGACATCCCAATTTAATATTAGGTATATTACAAATGCAGCAATGAGTTTGTTAGCTAACTCTTTAGGCTTTATCTATTCGATAAATTTTCTTATAGTTTTAGGTACATACATTTAGTTACGATTTTTGGATACTTACCCTTCGTAATACGCAAAACGCACAAGGGCAGAGCCGCAGGGAAAATCAAGTTTAGAAATAAGCTAAATCGGCAATAATTTCAGTAAACCATTTTAAAGTTAGTATTCGACAAAAATAACGTATTTAAACATACCATGGAAGCTTTGACACAATCTCGAACCAAACTCCTGCCGTGCAAGCCCTGGTCATCCTTCGGTCCAAAGGAGGGTAAAGGCAAACATTTATATATTTCCAACGCAGCTAGCGGATGATTTTGGAATACCAGTAGAGTAGTTACACTTTGCATCAACGGAGTAATTGACGGTGACTTCAGAATTTCTGACGGTAAGTAATTTAAGACCTGAAAATAAAAGAAATTTATTATTATTATTATCTTAGTTATTCTCGATGTATTGTTGATTGGTTTGGCATTAGGTGTACAGATAGTTGATAAGTTACAATCTATGCTAATAGTATAAAGCTAAACAGTTTGTTTCTTTAAACACTTTAATCTTTGAAAGAGTCTAGTATGTACATTGAATTAGAAAATTATTATGCTATTATGTAGTCTACTTTCTTTTTTGGAATAAGTCGATAAGCAAGTAGATAGAGCACCTGATGGTAAGCAATCGGCGCCGCCCATGGACACCCGAAACACCAGAGGCGTTACAAGTGCGTTACCGGCCTTTGGGGTTTAGGAATTTGAGAATTGTTGGGGATTCTGGATCCCCGGTATCATTTTTGAGGGAGATTGGCGATTGGGGAGATTGAGGTGAGGTTAACAGAGGCGTATTGGGCCTGACACGACGAAACACAACGAAAGTGTTATTTCGTTTTTCTGAGAAGCCGTGGTATAAGTTACCAAGGAAAAGCATAAGCAATAAAGCATCATTCTACAATCAATAGTAGTCGAGTAGCGGGGGAAACCGCTACAAGAGTAGCTTGTTGCCAAATATTTAACACTATACATTTCTGTCGAGTTCTTCATAGAATAAAATATATAATACAAACCTTAGGTATAGGCTGATACAATCCAACAAAAGCCAAAGTCTTGACAATATCCATAATGTGTGCTTCAGTGAATTGCATTCCATTCCTTACTGCGGCATCCATTTCTTCTAAAACAGGACCGGTCTGCTTGTTACACGCTAGAGCTCTAGCAGTAGCTGTGTATGTGTCTATTGATGGATTAACATTAAGCGACTTCATCATAGTCAGGACTTCTTTTATGTTCTGGATGTTACTGAAAAGTTTGGAGTTTTATTAGCAACTAGTTGTTGCCCGCGATTTCGTCCACGTAGAATATGCTGCTTGACTGCACAGTTGGTGCGGTGGCTGGCCAACCGGCTGCCGTGCAACGTGTCGCGGGTTCGATTCCCGCACGGAACAACACTTTGTGTGATCCACAAATTGTTGTTTCGGGTCTGGGTATCATTGTTTATGTGAATATGTATGTTTGTAAACGCACCCACGACACAGGAGAAAATCCAAATGGGGGGCAACGTTTTTTTTAAAAAAAACAAAAGAAAAAGAATATGATTACTGTTTTATCCCATGGAAGTATTTGATCGGGATAAAAAGTATCCTATCATACTCTGCCTGTATACCAAATTTCTTAAAAATCCGTTCAGTAGTATCAGTGTAATTGGTGGTTAAACATACAAAGAAAGTTTCACAATTAATGGTCTCATTTAAAATTAAAACATAGGACATAATTTGAAGCACAGTTATTATTGAGACTTTAGAATAATCAAAAAAAGGAATTCTGTTTTCGCGCCAATACAGCTTAACTCGTCGAGTACCGTCATTATAGACACAATTAAAGAACAATTGGTTGCGGTCACCGGTGACCGCTTGGTGTTTGACAGTTTAATCATACATAACAGAATTCATGCTCATGCCAAGCCATTAGTTGATCAACTTGTGTCAGTTAAGCTGATTAGACTGTTCTCTCTTTCAGTTTTCAGTCCAATAAGCATAGACTTTTCTACTTTTATAGACTTTTCCCAATTGGAAAAATTACCACAAGACTGGAATGGGCTATTCCACATTAGACAACAAATCAGTGTTGCCAAGTCATCTTATATTATTATGGAAGAGTTTGTTTTTTTGTTTGTTTGTTTGAACGCATCTCCGATGGCTATTAGGCTATAAAACATCACGTTACAACCAATGTGGAGTTGTGCAGAGCGTGTGAAACCGCGCGGAAGTAGCTAGTAATTAATATAAAATTATAAAGTGTTCAAGACAGTACTTACCCTGCCTTTCCTTGACAGACAATAAGAGAATTGAATATACTCTCAGTAGCCGGAAGTCCTTGAGCCTTCATGTTGGATATCACCTCTGTAGCTTGGTTTATATCACCAGCCTGTAACAGGAAACATATATTTATTTCAAGCAAGTATTAGGCCCTTTTATCAGTAATAAACTAACTATATAAAAGATGAACAGGTTCTAAAAACAGTTCTACAAACAAACATTCTTGTGCAATATTTTTTTATTATTTTTTGTTATAAACACATCAAGAAAGAAGATTTCTTTAGATATTTATTTTACAGCACATCTCTGTCGGTAAAGTAGTAGTTTATTTATTAGAATAATAGATGGAGCTGACCTCCATTACTCTATCGGTAAAGACCATCAAAAATTAATATGTCGAATGGACTGTTAGCCATTTATGTTACAAGAGATTGAAGTATAACACATTAATAAATAGTAAGAAATGTAATAATAATCTAATAATAGACTTTAAATGTCGTTTCTTTTGATTACAAGTGTGTTTTATTGTGTGTAAAGTTGTTTATTTTGTAATGTAAATTTTTGGTTCAATAAAAATCTTAGCAACACTGAATTATTTATGGTGGATTCCTAATAATTTGTTCCAATTAATTAAAAAAAATTTTTATGGCATAATCCGGTAAACGAACATACGGATCACCTGTTAGTAAGCAATCGGCGTCGCCCATGGACACCTGGAACACCAGAGGCGTTACAAGTGTGTTATCGGCTTTTTGGGGATTAGGAGTTTGAGGATCGACATAAACAAGCTTGTATTAAGACCTTAGTTAAATTGTAGGTCCATACAGTTTACACACTGTAAGGTATAAATTGTAAGGTGTGTAGCGGGCGTAAGTCATGTTTTGCTATAGTGCTGCAAATAAAAGCTTTGTCACTAAACTTAGTAACATACAAACCTCTCCGAGAGCTCTTATAATCAGTTCATATGTTGTCATAGTGGGTTTTACTCGTTTCATCTGATTGATAAAACTGCTGACTGTGATAGTCCTGTTGTTGGCTATGTATACCTTGAGGAGTTCATTGTAATGTTCCACCTCAAACTTTGTGTGGGCCCTGCAGAATATAGCAGATAGATATACATTTCATACAGATATACTAGATACACTGAAGAATACACACAATAAATTAAAAAAATACTAGTTTTATAATCCTACATATTTAAATTATACTGATAACAAAGTTTAATTCCAACTAAAACTTTAATTCAGACACAGGAATCCAGTAACAATGATGGGTAATCAGAGAATAACTTACTGGATTGTAGTCCACACTTCTTCAACCAACTGCATCCTGTTCGACGCAGATTCATCAGGCAACAAATCACTGCAGCATCGAATTAATAGTAAGCCTTGCTTCTTCGTTGAAAAGTTCAATTCTTTCACTTTAGTTAGTACTCTTACTAGATCATTTTTATATACTCTATTCTTTTGGAATATGTCTGTATTTAGTGCTGCAATATATTTTTCAAGTACTTCCTCTGAGGACACTGCCGCTTTTTGTTGAATTTTATCTTCTAATGGGTCTTGAGATAATTTAGGCGAATTTCGTACATCTAAAATTTTTTCAGCATATCTCAATTGTGAATTCAATGATATCGGTCTGAAAAATAGAAGTAAATTAGTTGAAAGTAATTTACAAATGAAATAAATGAGAAAAACTTATCCTAACCTAGTCGTTCGATGATTACAAGAATTATATAAACCAGAACTTAATAAATGTTTTCTATCCAGCACATAATTATTGTGCAACAGCGATTTTGAAGCACGCGCAATTTTAATGTACTGTCGAAATAACATTTTTATTTATTTTGTAAAATTCATTCAATTTTTATTTTTCGATTTCGAATCTCCAAAATATAATTTGACCTAAACAAATTTATTGCCAATACAAAAATTGAAGAAATAGGGATGTCAAAGTCCGGAAAAAAATGTGTTGATTGTTAAATGGTTGGACCCAAGTCCAACCAGGTATTTCCTTTATTATAATTAAAACTAAAATATTTACACCTTAAAAAATAATAATAATGAAAAAATAATAATAATGAAAACATAATAATAATGAAAAAATAATAATACCTAATGAAAAAATAATAATAATGAAAAAAAAAATAAATAAATTATAAGGCATCAAAGAAAATATTTTCCTCATCGCTACCGTGAGGTAGGGTGCCCAAAAGACTGGCAGCATTGCCACGTTGAATGGCAATGCTTAACCTTTGCCCAAGATAGTAGCCAGCCCTTCGATCACCTGAAGTGTCAACCATCCTCCTTACAATATCGTTGTAAAGAAGATGTGCACTTGGCCCCCACGGCCCTAAAGTTTCAACCCCAAACGGTTCGAAAGCATAATTGCCAATCAGGCTATTATACTTTCGCCGTTTGAGGTTCTCGGCAGCGGCAGCGGCAGCACCGGCTCGACACGCTGAGCTTGGAAGATGGGATGGCGCCAGAGTATCAACGCAAGTGGCGTCCCATACTAAAGCTCTACCCATCTTCCAAGGGAATAATGACATACCGTCGGGTCTCTTGCCATCGTCGCGTACCAAGCCATTAGGTTCTAAAGTAGCTGGCACGCCAACGGAGGCAAGAGCTCGACGAATTATGTCATTAATACTTGCGTGTCGAGCAAAACGGCCCGCACTACGGCTACATGACAAGCCGTGGTGTCCAAGGCTGTTGACAACTTCACCACAACGACAACGATGAGGTGAACAAAATGAAGCTCCAAGCCTTAAACAAATTGCAGCGCGGAACGTGGTGTCGTCCAACAAAGTACCTAGGTTAGACGAAGGTAAAGCAAGAAGCTATGGCTTCTTGCTTTACCCCGACTCCCACTCACCCACAGCCAAAAGGCAAGCTCTCTCTGCAGTTGAACAAGAGGAGTTCAAAAGATTTTCGCTCACTTTTCTGCAGAGCGGCTCGTCCCATTGTCTCTGGGAGAGTGATTTGACAGGGGGGTCAATATTTGGGCAAGCGATTTTCCAAGCATTCACAGCTTCCACTAAATATGGTACATCAAAATTAACCAGTGATTGAGAAAGAATTTTCCTGGTTAATTCTTTAGTACCATGGGCGGAAGATATGAAAGCCGGTAGGCTTATACTGGAAATTTTACGGACGCCAAGCCCACCCATGCGGACAGGCAGAGTGGCTTGTGTCCAAGCTCGGTCATCAAGAGCCACATTCAAAATTAAGGACAGGGTTCGCCTAATAATTTGGTCAATTTTTTCTAAAAGAAGGGGTGCAGACCAGAGGGTCCAGAGGTGGGTCGACCGCAAAAAGTACATAAATTTGGGACCAAAACAACAAAACCGAATAATAGTATAAGCCGAATGCATTCTAATGTTATATAGTTTTTCTGAAACGACAGAAAAATTTTGAATTTTTTCTTCAATAAAACTTGGAAAAGAGTCCTCGAAGACGGGCGCACCTAGGAGGCGAAGTGAACACTTATCAACCACCGAGATATTAGGCGCAAAAGTATTAAATTTTGTTATGGTCTGTCTGTCGGTAGAGTCATCTAAAAATATCTCACATTTGGAAAAATTTAGGTCAAGGCCAATAGCATGAAGTTCGTTTTTTAATAATATGAAGTCATTTAATACTGTATCGGCATCGCCTCCCAGGGTACCGTCATCGAGGTACCAAACATTAAATTTGGAATTTAGCTGTCGAATAATAGGATTTTTTTTTTATTTTTTTTTTTAAATAAATAAATTTTTTATTAATTCAAAAATTGCGAAATACAAAAACATATGGTAAATACGTACAATTGTCCTCACAATGTTATTTGCCTGCACTAGGACAATCCTGTATCGCAGGCGAGAGGAGTTCTAAATCTAATTCTTATAGTAACACATTTTATTTCTACAGATCCATATACTTAACATTATACAACAGAAAACAATATGATTATTTTAATATACATACATACATACATACATATAAAACTAATCTTCATATAATATATACTATAATATGCCTAATAAATATATTAAAATAACAACTAAAGTAAGATTTGTTTACAACAGCAACATTATGTCTATCGACGAGGAATTATCAACATCAGCAGAAATAAACTAAGTAGGCTAACACTAAAGTCCATATGGTCATTCATTTGGTTGTGTTTGAGTAAGCACAAATGCTGGATAGCAACAAAGTAATGATTAATCTAACGTAATATGTAGTGTCACTGTTGTGCAATAAGGAGGCCAATCAACTCATGATGCATTACGCGCCCTCGTAATCAATCGAGTTGATATACCTGTGCTGAGCTATGTTCTTCGCCGGACACTCAGCGTCACCCGTCTTATGATTGTTGGGCTTATTAAACCGAGAGCATGTTGCACATTTAGGGGATTCTCCTTTTTTCGTGCACGTCGATGATAAATGGCCTATTTCTCCGCAGTGTCCACATGATGAGGGGCCTCTACATGATTTAGCTGCATGCCCGTACTGTTGACAGTTATAACACCTGGTGACTAATGTAAAATCCCTTACAGGGCAAGAATTCCAATTAATATATATTCTTTCCTGAGCTATAAGGACCTTGCGAATGTTGGCTGGAACTTCTAAGATAAGGTTACAGGTCGGCGCATCCTTCTTTCCGGATTTGTGGCTCAGTTTAATTGCTGTTAAAAAGGACTCCATGGTCATCTCTGGAAACTTCTCAGCAATGTTTTGCTCGTATATGTACTTCAATACGTCAGTGTCAACTAAAGAAGTCGGGACGCCTACCACAGTGATTCGTGGCTGGCGCTTTTTGGGCTCACCGATGACAAGACCAGATGACGACTGATGAACTGCCTGCTTGACCTTCTCAGCATCCTGTTTGTTGTCTGTGCTAATTACTATGCCTCCGTTTTGGATTTTTCGGACTCCACGTACGTGTAGCTTCATTTGGTCAGGCCGTATGATTTGTTGTACCAGAGATTTGGTTTCGTCACTGCACTTTACTAATTTACTAACTGGGTAAATTGCAACAGAATTTTGTTTTTGGGGTTGCACAAAATCATTTGGCCCTTTCTTCACCATATCGGCAAAAGAGACGTTCTTAGTTGCGGTAGAGTCGTTGATAGCCTTTTTCAACACCATAATTTCTTCCGCTAGGTCCCGTTTTTCTCTAAGGTCGTCAATTATATAGAGGGCTTGTTTGGCTTTCTGCTTTAGAGACTGATACGAGACTGCTATTTGCGATACACCTGATTCTATTTTGCGGCTCAAGTTAGTTATTCTTAATTTCTGCTCGGAGTTAAGTTTGCCTTCTGTGGCAATAGTGCAGACTTCGTTTAACTGCTTCTCGATGGTTGACATCCATTTTTGGAGTTCTGACGTGGATACCACTTCTATACAGAAGCTAGGTTGCTGGCTTTTCACTTCCGAGGTACAGGCACGGACATTACTGGGACTATTATCCATTTTGTCTTCACTTGTTCACTTCGTTTATGTTTCCATATTTATAGAAAAAACTGAGTAATAAGCAACAATATGAAAGGAGGTCACAAATTTTGCGTATTGCTAATGCGCACGTCTGTTCACTACGAACGGCAACAATGCAATCCATTAATTAATAGCCAGGCTAAAAATCACTGGTCCAAGGGGATCGCCTTGTTGACAGCCAACGGCTGATTCCAAAAGGTTGCCCTGATATAATAATTTGGTAGGATGTCTATAACATTGCCAGAGAAAACTGAAAATTTGGGGTACTTCTTTTTTAACTTCTGTCAACATAGTATCCCTATTGACCGAATTAAAGGCATTCTTTATGTCAACCTTCAGGATGATATCACCTTTCCTAGAATTCAGATAGGTCGACAACGCATGCACGGCAGCCTCGCAGCCCCCTCTCGATCCATACCCGAGTTGAAGGGGCTGGAATTTTTCCGAAAGGTGATTATTATAAAATTTGCAACTAATCTTGGCTGCCATGCGACGATAAGTTGTTCCCACAGCAATGGGACGAATACCGCCATTTTTGCGAAGGGCACATAAATTGGCCCCGTACAAAACGTCGATGACAGATTCGTGCACATTGCCGGAGAGCATAAGATTGACCAAAGCCGTAAGCTCCTTCAGCAGCGTCACGCCGGACTCCCCGGCGCTTGAGCTCGTCAGATCTTTGAGATGCTGCGGCGTCAAACCGTCGAGGCCTCCGGCAGAACCGGTCCGGAAGGAGCCTATGGCAGTGACCACTTGTCGACCTGTAACAGAAAGGGTATGAATATCTGCTTCTGGAGGATCCGGAAAAGAGAGACCATCTACTGGGGCCGGGTGTTTGCTCTCCAGAGCTTTAAGCGTATCTGGAGAACATGGGGCCAGTACGTCGTTGCTGAAAATAATCCTGGCTGCACCGCTGATATCACCTTCACCTATTTTGGCCTCAACTAAATCCGCTAAAGTTTTGGTTGAGGCATAACTGCAAGCCGGTAATTTTGGGTCGAATTGGGAAGCCGAAATGCAATTTTCTTTAATTTGTTTGGTTAAAGAATTTTGAAGAGCCAAATTCTTTTTGACGTGTAAGATTTGGTAAGGGAAGGTGAGAAGTTGTTCCCAAGCGCGTAACGAGTTCTCCTGTGTTGCCAGACGGACATAATTTGCTAATTGTTGCGCAGCTAAAGGTCTGGCACCACGGGGAACACGTTTAAGCACAGGGATAGATTTTTTAAATTTTGATAATCTTTTCCAAAAGGGGTCTGTCATAATAGGAGGAGTAGTGTCGATAACGGGGCTGAATGTATTTTGAGATTTGTGAACACGTCCAATGTGTACATTCAGCCCTCGCTTACCTTTAAAAAAGC